TGCAGGAAGAAAATAACTCCTTAGATTCTGTCGCTCACCACAAATCAACATCACTAGCAAGTATTCCATCTCAGTTAACTCACTCGATCCATACGGAAGAAAACGATCGTATTGACTTCTTAAATAATCTGACCATAAATTTACTTCACATTCTCATCCTTACTCACCTTATATCATTATGTACACTTAAATGCATTTTATTGCAACTCTATCATTTTCAACTAACTCACTTATTTCTTAATTCGTCAAGTTTATTCAGTAAAACCGTTTGGTTCACTAACTATTAAAATCCAGACGCTTCAAGCTTCTGATCCTTGTTTGTTAGTTATTTTTCACACCACGAATAATAATCTGGTAGAGTTTATGCTGCGAAATTCAGAAGTAAAGGCTTTCACTTTTGAGATGTAAGGTACAACGTTATTGTTAGAGTGAAGACTTTCAAGGGCTGACAGACAAATTCTTCTTTGAATGTAACTATATTGTCCTCTTTTTCTGCCAGCATATGGCCTTAACACATAACAACGAGTTCAACGATTTGATGTAAATTGTTTCCTATAAAGCTTTTTATTGACATTTTTAACCACCTTCTAGGCCTACAGCAAAATTTCTTGGACCACTATTTTCATACCATCTCTTAACGGATATTTTCTGTTGATCGATAACCTACTGTGTATATCCTTCTTACTTGAACTAGCGTTTAAACTAAAACGGTTTATTACATGATTTCGAATAGAATTCACGGTTATTTGTTTTCAGCATTTCAGGAACTGCGGTGGAAAGAGATAAGCTGTTGAAATTTTTGGACAGCGAAATGACATATAAATATACCTTGGCGAGGTTACTAGAAGAACAGAAGTGTCGCAATCTACAGTTAGAACATAAGGCAGCAGTATTTGAAGACAGAGAAGCGATGTTAAATAACAAGGTTATATCGGTTTACTTTTATCGTGTTATACTGTTTGATCACTGGGCTAATTGAAACATGGCATTATAACTTGATCATTTTAATTTTCACTAAAATAGACGTTCAGAATCATGAGAATGACCGGAGTGTAAATATTTAAGAAGCTTCATTTGATGGGAAATATTATATAAGAGCCATGATATTCTAGTGCTAATCACTCACCAACCAACTGGAAAAGTAAAACAATTGCTTCGAAAATCCTCTCTTTTTATTTATCATATGTCAACCCACCCTTAGTAGTTTGAGGGCAATTTAACTTTATATGCCGAAATCTAGTCAGGAGGTGTTTCAAAGTATAATTTAAATCTGGAATGAATGAGAGACAGGCTGAACATATGGTCACCAACAGATACTCGTAAACTATCGAAGAGTTTACATTTTCCTTTCATACCTGTAGTAAATTGGCGGTTGTATGAGGCCTATTTAATACATGGGCGTGATTTTTCCATTCATTTGACATTATTTGACAATTGTTTATTAAGTTGTACTTCATTACATGAGTCTTAGAAACTGTTATTTAGATAGCAGTTTTTGAAGAGGCCCTGACTTGATAGTGCAACACCCTAATCCAAGGGTAAAACGTCACTGAAATAAGTTCATCTATAGGAAATGATGAGCCTTAAATCCCACACAACTTTTAGGAATACATTATGGGATAAAGATATTAGTGTTTTTATTGTTGTGGTTAAATGCGAGGTACTAGAAAAAGCTAGGAAGTCGGTTGATAATATTTTAAGTACTCATCTTCTGATGTAGATTAAGCATTTATTAGGTAGGCCTAACTAATCTTCCATCCCCAATATTGGCTTGCGTAGAAATGGGTTGGAAGCGACTTGCGGTTTTCGGTGGAGTCTTGTTCTCTATGTTAGTGTTTTGATTGAGGAGTTTTCATTGTTATTCTGGACAACATAGTCAGCACATGCTTCAAGTGAAAGTGGAATATTCGAATTTCTCCACATATGACCAACAGCTTGCCCCATCAATCTCGATCTTAATTGGTTGTTGTTGACCTTTAGCCTGTCATTGTCCGAATCTTTATTTTGATTTTCTCTCCTTTCGACATGACTCTCGACTCTGTATTCGTTCAGGATTTTTCCAACTGGCTGAAAAATTAGGTTGGTTTTGATGTGCATGTTTATTGCTGATTTACTTGAGTCCCACGTTTCTAAAAATCCTCTGACATTCTTAGTATTCTATCCATCCAAGATCTTAACATTTTTCCAGTCAAATATGTGCTCACAATTGTCCACATATATAGATGTAGGTGAATATATATCATGGCATCTGACAAATAGCTATTGTTCTTGGAGCCGATGATAAAGGGGGCATTCACTCTATCCGATGCAGTGTTTCTCTCAATCGGAACGGTTTATTTCTCAGATGACACTTGGTTTTTCTTCTTTTGTTATTTTATCATTTGGTTTGCATTAGTTAGAATGATTTTGCTGGTTTAAGCATTACACCCATTCCTAACTGCCTCAATAGTCCCATTTGCAATTTCTAATATGTCTTTTATATGTGGTAGGATGATCTGCTTTCTGGTTTTTGTATTTATTTGGTTTCCATTGATGATTTCAATTGTTATTTTTTGACGAGGCGGAGAGACTTGTCGTTCTCTAAAAGACGTGACGTAAGTGTCCTGCAATGTGTCCTTAACTTTTGGGTAGACTTTGTACGCAGTTGATTGCTAGTTTTCTGATTGTTGCTACTGTAGCTCGCAATTTGATCTGCCTAAGTTGGGTCTCGATATACTTGAGAATCCAGTTTCCTTGTGACGGTTCTGGCGGTCAATCCGTCTAGGAGTGTTAGTTTTCTATCTGACTCTTTTAACTCTGTGAATTTTATTTCATGCTATTGATCAAATTGTAGGTGCTTTGCAGATCGTTCTTTCTGATAATAACAAACGTGTAATCCAAATAACGAATCTATATTTTCGGCTATATTACTGGTAAAGTCGAGGCTTCCAGTCTCTGGGTCACTAACCCTGTAATAAGTCCTGATATTGTTGATCTCATTGTTATTCCCTTCGTCTGTCCATAGATTTTGTTATTGAATTGAAAGTATGCTGTTGAATGTAAATCCACGAGATCGACTAGATTTTGACTCTGTAGCTTCGTGCACTTCGGGAGATTTGTATCACTGATAAGGTGTGAGGATAAAGTTTTCTTTGCTACGTTTGGTTTAATTGAGGTGAATAAGGGTCTAAAGATATCATTAGTTTGTCGTTATTTGTTTGAATATCACTAATCTTATTAAATAATTGTGCAGTAGACTTATTATTATTATTATTATTATTATTATTATTATTATTATTATTATTATTATTAGCTTTATTCAATATTATATTATTTGGTACAAAATCGAATTCTCAGCATAAAGTATTTCAACATGTTTACGTTTCTTATTTCTTCGTTGCTCCTGATGATAAACATTCAGTGATCGCCAGTTGGATGTCAGCAGTTCAGTCAATCGACATATGAATAATGTATATTCTTTTTGCTGCATGTTCCCAGCAAACACGACATCTCTGATTAGACATTTTGTAACTTTCACAGCGAAGGGTTGTACAGTTTTCAGAAACGCACCGGAATAGGTTGTGTGCTCAATAGCCATAATTATGTATTAAAACAAACAATATGATATAACTTGTTGAAATATATAGATGACGGGAAACAGGTAGCCCAGATGTTTAAGCAGGCCGCCTTAATGGAGTTATCAAATAAATCCATCGAATTTTTCAATATTCTCAAAATTCCTGTTGATAAATTGTATTATGGGGTTTTGGAGAGTGACAGAATTTGGTGTAGTACAATTTTTGGTTTCTGTACTTTCGGCTTACTGTGAAATTGAGAGGGTGATGGTCCACTGATTTTCATTCGCCATGGATCCTGTTTTGGTATTTGTTCTTCTTTGGCAAGTTTGTTTAAGGACCCAGAGATCTGGTTATCTAATCTTTTGATTGCATTCGTGTCCATTATTTTACACACATTTTCAAACACAATTAGTTCCTCATATTTTTTCACCAACTTATAGTCTGAGGTAGTTAAGTGTGTTATCAGATAATAAAGACACTGATTAGTGGTCTCATACACATTGGTACCTACAAATTACTTGTTTGATTTCCATGTAATTACCATAACAAACAGTTGCATGCATTAGAAAACTTGTCTCAGATTTGGTCTCAATGGTGTAGACGCATTCACTTCTTGTCTAACTCTAAATCATGGGTTTCAAAATTGTCACTACTCTTACCATTATTGTATGCATTACGATAAGTTTATCTTGCTGTGCTGATACAATGGCTAAAATCCGAACTGTTATGATCTCATAAACCTTGTAACAGTCACTAGGATGGTAGACGCTCTTAAACAGAATAATAGCCGCAGTGAAATAAAAACTTTCGCACTGAATTTTCAGTAATATGATGAATATTTTCGTTTGTTATTTTATGTTTAAAAAGTGGTGTTCCATTTTAATATGTTTTGCTTCTATCCGTTAATAGGTTTAGGCTAATAAGGTTATAATTATCTGTCGTATACAGAACTTAGGACTCTAAGTCATATATACTGTTTGACGGAACAAATAGTGACTAAACGTTCTTAGTTAGTTTACCAACAAAAGCCAACGTCCAAATAGGCAATAAGTAGGCGTTTTTCTCGCATTCCTTAAAGCAGTTTGTTGGTCTAGCTACACTAAATAATGGCTTATATGTTTATACTTACAGTTATTTAAGCTGGATAAGCAACTAACAGAAAGGGATGAACATATTAAAGAGCTCTTTCATATAATTCATGATTATGAGGTTTGTCACCTCGAACAATATTAGAACTTAATTACTTATAGAACTTATTAAATATAAATCAAGAACAGGTAACTAAAAAGTCACACGAATTATTTGTGGTGAGTCGGAATTTTTTTAAAGACAACCATACTAAAGGCAAAATCTGAGCTTTCTGAACTTCGTGCAAAAATAAATGATATTGAAGAAAACGTAAGTTAGATTTTGCTAACGTTTTGATAAATACAGATCAATCTAATGCAAATATGCAGTTCTAAAGTTAATGGATTTGAAGAAAATATACAATCTATTTCATCATATGAGGGGTATGTTGTATTGTTAACAAATGAGTTTCCGTATATATATATATATATATATATATATATATATATATATATATATATATATATATAAGAAGCCTGATTTACCTCAATTATCTTGGTGAAAACAAAACTTTTTATCATTTTTATGTTCAAGTCATCATTAATATAACAAAATTTATTACTGATCGCTAAAGCTATAATTGCCATAAAGTATTTATTTTTAGTGATATATGATCTTATTGATTGAAATTTCTCGGATTCATTATTCATTAATCAACGAGGAACGCTATTTCTAGACGTAAGTGAGTAGGAACTAAGTAAGGAAAGTATATCGTTTCATAAATAAGAGAGAAAAGAAATTTTAAGAAGGCTGCTATATGAAGTCAGCCGTACCGAAAATTCACGACTGATAGCATTTACTGGTTGAGTTAACCATCACTAGCTAAAGTCATCCAAATATGTACTAACTTTCTAGTTTGCTTCTACTGTGGTTTTACCAAATGTGGTGAAATATTTCGCAAAGATGTTGATTGACTTTTATATTTCCAAACTGAAGGGTTTGAACACGTACTGTTTAGTCAATATACTATTTTTAATAAAAGGTTAAATATAGCACAATAATGTCCACATACAAATTTATTTTTTCACTTAGTTTACGCTAGATGAATGAATAAAGGAATCTAAAACTGATTTTAAAATATAAGATACATATTGACTAAATCTAAATCACTAAATTATAAAATCGGTTATTAGATTTTAAAAAATTGCTTAATCGGCTAGTTGTAAAATAATGCAATAAATGAAAACCAGTGATAAATATTTAATCATATTCTCATTGTGAAACATTTGTCGGTGAACTTACAACTAAATGTTTATCATTTAATCTTAAAGTTAGCATTGTCCAGTTGGCATTTTTATTGACTCTCAACGAGGGAATAATTTATGCCACCACAAATTAAATAAATGTTCATACTCTCTGCGCATGTGGGTAACTATCCTGACTCAGTGCCTAAATGGATAACGCGTCAGTAGTTTGAAACGAAAGGTAATGTGTCCGAATACGGGATTTAACATGAACTCCGGAATGCAGGTGCATCCATCTAATGAGCCTCAAAGAAGGTGCTTCCTTCATCCTATTGCTAGTCAAACTATATATATTCTATATAAATATATTTTACTTAACCCATAAACATAATAGCAGACAATATTAAATCCAACTAATTTCATTTGGGTCAACGGTTGACCATACCTTTGTTTAACTAGAACTGTAAAAGTTGTAACTTTCAAGCTAGGAATATATTGCATCTTAGGTGAAAGACAAGACAGGAAATAAACTAACTTCAAGTGATTATTAATTCATAGTTTTCGCTAGATGTACTAATTTTATCCTTGTCTGTTCATCGAAATTTAGTTGTGGATAGTAAAATGACTTTTTAGTTTACGAATTTGTTATGCTCGTTTCACTTTAAAAACAGGTCTAACTTGCCAATAAATGTTCCAGACATTGATTACAACAAGTCGAAAATTTCAGTGATCCAGTCACATACAGAAGAGTCATGGATTCAAAATCAGCCACTAACTGCAAAAATCAATCAGAAAAGCTTAGCTGACGAACTTTTTGAAATGGAAGCTGATCAAGATGTTCACTCTATTTTACTTACATATGGTACTGAGCATATTAATAGTTGTGCACATTATCGAAAAATGTTTACGTTCGAAAATAAAACAGTAGAAGAATTCCTAAGGGATCTGGTATATATTTTTTAAATTTATATGTCCATTATGTATTTATAACTGTATTTATAAACACATTTTCGCCAATGATTTGTTCATTCACTTTCAAATATTTCAATCGGTGTTCAATAAACTATGAGAGTCATAGGTTCTATCCCAAATGTTTTCATTGATGATTAACGTCGTAGTATCTGAAACAGGAATGAAGTAATTGTGTAATCCTCTCTTTCTTTTAGTGGTTTTCTATCTGATATCAGTTCTTTATAAAAATCTTTTCAAACACAGACGATAAGTTAGGTTATGAACGCTTACTATACCAAAGGTGGTTCATCGATCGGTATCGATATGTGGAAGGTAACGTACACGTTCTTTGAGCACTATCCTCAAGTCTTTGCATCATCTGTTGAGTCTGATGTTATTTGCTGCTGAGATAGAGTTGTTTAGCGAGGATACTATCAGACAGCATTGTTTATGGTTCACAATAATTTAACACAATGTAAACTTCAAAGTTGGTTTTATTATAGCTAATTATCAGGTATTTTTATGTGTTATCACATGATGTTTATATTCATTAAGAATACGGTTAGAAAATAACAGATATTATTGACTTTAGTGGCATTTATCGCTTTAAAAAAGTGTCAAGCTCTCAAACCATAAATTACGAAAGCAATCAACTTTATATTAGTTACCATCTAGAAATTGAAATGACCGAATTAATTGCATAACAGTGTATCTTATCATGATTTAGCACGTGTCACTTTGATTTTAAGAATGTACTGTAGTTTATCTTTACAGTGCTTTGAATAAAGGTTGCCTATGTTCAGTGTTGTGGAGATCATAATCACAAGTGCCGAATTATTTTGTCTTAGACATATTAAATACTGAGAATTAGTATGAATGAATAACAAATATTCTTCTGCATGGTATAGAAAACCGATTTACTTGACTTGAACGAACCAAACAGTTTATGTCTATAAGATGAGCTAATTTCAGATAAATAAGTGACTGAACTGATATATTCTTTGACTATCTTTATGAAAAAAACAAATTTTCATACATTCTACTTCCACGTGGGGAATATTTTGATTTCGAGTTATTTTGTTGTTAAAATAAACAATATTTTCTAACACTATCGGTATAATACCTTGAAGAGAGTTTTCTGAAAGACAGTCATACTGAATTTGAACACTTAGTATTTTCAACACTTTTAATACCAGATATAATGAATGAATTCATTATAAACATTTTAGATACAGTGTAATGAAATTCATGTTGAAAATATTTTTTATGAATGAAGACACTGATGGATTACTTAATAACCTCCCAGTTTTTAAATTATGTGCAGAATTTACTTATAAATCGAATTCAAAGTTTTTCCAACAGTGAAGCAAAACTTCAGTTATCTAATTTATTTTAAGAGTTGCAATATCCTAAAACCACACATTTTGTCTCATTTCTTGGTACAAGTCGATTCGTCTTCATACCTTCAAACTAAAATTGAGATGCAAAAGAAACATGTTACAACAACACGGTTACTACTTACTGGATTATGAACAAATACACGAAGGAAAACGGTACTGGTCTGCAGAAGACGTAAATGATTTCAAATGTGAATCAGAGACATATTTCGGCTTAATCATTAAACAATGCGCGGAAATTTCAGTGTTGTAAGTTTACCTGAGTTAAATTACAAAATAACCGAAGGTAAGCAAAGTCACAATGATAACTCAGTTCTAAACTATTGTCCAAGTATGTTCACATGTTGGATTCGGTTTGTAGTGTCAATGTGAAATATTCAGTCTGAAGTGCGTCCAAAGTATGGCACATGAAGCTTTGTATGTAATTTTCATCTAAATCGAGTGATGCAAGTCCATGGCCTGGGTCAAGTTAGGTACTTTCATATATATATAACTAAACAATTGAATATCAGTTGTCGTTTTTGGTATTATTGATCATAATATTTTAGGTATCAATGAAATCGATAGTAGCAAATAACGTATTTTCATTTCGTTGACTGTACTTCATTCTATCTACGAAGATTGTTTTGATTGGCCCTTATATCCAGATGTTCGGATGTCAATCCTTCTTTAGACGGCGCAAAAACTTTCTGAAGGACTTTGGTTTCACCGAAGTCAGTTTGTATCCAGTTTCTAATAAACGTAGTGATAAGTGGATAAGAACAGTATTTGAAATGTGCTTTAGTCCTCAGAAAGTAGGAAAATAGATTACAAATAACACGACTGTTTGCTATGTGTTAAGGTCAATCTTTATGAAAGTGTTTAAATCATAAAGACAATTTATTTAGAATTTCTTACATTCACAGTCAAAACTTACTACTCAAAAACTGGAATTATGCTGTGTAATTTAAATAATATTTCTTAGGTCCCAGAACTACACGGTTTTCTGAAATAAGCAAATTATAACAAAAATTAATGGAGACTCATTCCGTTCAACTTATCTTTTTTAAAGGGGACAGTTATAATTACTACTAAAGATTTCGAAACAGTGACATTAAATATGTTGTTCCTTTGGTCTTGTAAAAACTCTATTGACGGTAACAGACTCTTGAGTTACTGCGCTCAGACATTTATCAAGTTGTTTATTTCATTTAGTGTAGTGTGTTATTGTTCTGCGAATTTACTTCTTCTGTCACTCAAAATGGTATCCACAGACCAGCACTCTCTCCATAATCATGTGCAATAAACTAATAAAATAAATAAGCAGAAAAATAAACGATAAATCTTGTGGTTTTATCCTTTAAATTTATTTTTTATTATTCTGAACTACTTAGAACAGGGATGCATTTTCAAAAAGCACCAACATTTTGGACCAATGTACCATCCAATGTCGGAGAGCGATTTCTAACGGTAGGTTGTTTCTCTGAATATTTTGTTCATTCACCTTTCTATAAAACTGCGATAAACCCTAATTAAAATGATGACATTCATTTCATTAAAAAATTACGCTTTTTGATGAATTTACTTTAGATGTTTTCCATCATTTTTTATCTTGTAGAGTCCCTCTTCTAAACATTCACTTTATATTATAGACATTCATCAATCAATCTACTTCGGAAACGAGATCATGTTCAACACATGATGCATTTTTCTCAGGTAAGTCAAGAAATAAGATTATAACAATAGAGTGTGATATTGGCATAAATAGGCATTATTCACTAGACCATAATAATGTACATAGATTGTTTCTGTTATTGGAATATCAATAAATAATTAAACGACGAGTGAACTATAACGATGAGTACAATAATACCAAATCATGTTTATAAGCATATTCCCGCAAAATGATAAATAAACTGAAGACTAAGAAGTCACTTTATTAAAATAATACAAAAAATAGTTCATTGATTAGAATGCTTCTTTTGATAAAAGTGTTCAGATATTTTTGTGCACGATAGGTAGTATGATACTTAGGTAGTTTTACAAATCAAAAGTAATGTCAACGTAATTGGATATGCTTTATAAGATAGGCAAATAGATAAGCGTCATTTAAAAACGATCTTACCAAGTATATTATCTTTCTGTACTTATTATAGCATTAAACAAATTTAAAACTTGTTCAGATCAGTAGAGATTTGAAGAATAAATGAAACAAAATGCTGAACTTTATCGTGTTTTATTTTATCTTTGAGAAAAATAAGTCGTAACTTAAACACCATATCTTATTTTAAAATCAGAAATTTGTAATTTAATGAAACTTATGAAAATATACAAAGGAATATCTAGAGACGGAAGCTTAGTAAATGCAAAGGGTATGAGGCACTTTTTAAGAAAACGAATGCTTCAACTGAATAAAGAAATCGATCAGCATATAGTAATAAAACGTTTTTGAAAGGTAATGTATAATGAAATAACAAAGTTTTAATAAATGACTATGCGAAGACAAAAAAAATTTAATTACTGAAAATGTGATGGGAAACTATTTAGTCATTTGTTTTTTCTCTACACAATCTTCCCAATAAACCAAAGTTAGAAATTATACTAGAGCTGAAAGATAACACTTACAGATTGTTCTCCTTATTCTAACATAGTGCTTTTCCTGTTTTGAGGATTGAAGTTTGTTTAAACGCAATTTAATAAAGGGATTGTCATAGTAGACTTTTATAATATTTTGATTATGACTGGTAGTTTTAAATCGGTTACTGAAGTGCTTTTTTGCGGTAAATTAACATTTGCTGTACAGGGATAAAATACTATAGAAACAGCCACCTAGTATTTTTCTATTTATTCTTTTCATGAAAAGGACTGATCTTTTCAGTGGTACACGTGTCTTTAAAGTCGAAAGAACAATTTCTAAAATCCATTTCCATATTAACATTGTGAGGCAATATTTCACAAGACTGTTGAGTGGTTTGATTTCGGTTCTAAAAATACCTATCATTCCGACGTTTTTAATTACCGTTTTTCTAATCATGTCGTTCCGACTTGAAATATTCGCATTTTTCGTAAAGATTATTCCATATTTCCAAGGGGTTGGTCGCAAATATCTTTCTAATGGTTAACGTATGGATAAAATACTGATGAACTAACTAACCGCCTTTAGGTACTCTAAAACTTCAACTAGACACTATACAGGGTACATCATAATTCTCTGACAGTCTGTTTCTCGACTTTCATTTGTAGGTTGAGAGGGCTTTTGGAAATTGAGTTACAAGCACACCTTAAAACCCATTGAATCGCTTGTGAATCACTTTTAATCAACTTTTTGCTGTCTTATCACTGATAATATAGGATGGTTTGGAAAGAAAGGAAAAGATACTACTAATGGGACCGTGAAACATGAAAAGAAAGGTATCGATGATTGGTCTTTGGTTCCAGTGATTACCGGAAGAAGTCAGTTAACTAGAATCAACGACATTAATGCTAATCAAGAAAATGAAGCTCCAATAAATAACAAGTGAGTTTAGAATGTAAATATTAAGTGTTTTGTGTTGAAAGTAGTTAATCAATTTTTTTCTATATTTAATTCATTCTTAAGTACTTTATGGTAATCTAAATCAACCCAGTGCTATGCGCCTACCAACGACTACGATGAAGACGCTAAAGGCCAATTCTACGATAGGCTGCAGTCGATCTTCGAGAAGTGCCCAACTAAGGACCTGACCATTCTGATCGGAGATTTCAATGCCAGGGTTGGAACGAACAACGCTGGATACGAAAACATCATGGGACAACATGGACTGGGAGAAAGGAACGAAAATGGTGAGAGATTTGCAAACCTATGTGCCTTCAATAAACTGGTCATAGGTGGCGCCATATTCTCACACAAAAACATACACGAAGCCACTAGAATTTCACCGGATCACACTACACAGAATCAAATCGACCACATCTGCATCGACAAAAAGTTCAGGAGAACTATGGAGGATGTGAAAACCAGGAGAGGAGCTGATATGGCATCCGATCATCATTTGCTGGTCGCCAAGATGAAACTAAAACTGAAGAAGCACTGGACAGTGGCGCGGACAACATCACAAAAGTTCAATACGGCCTTTCATCGAAATGCTGACAAACTCAACAAATTCAACATAGCCCTCAGCAACAGGTTCCAGTTCTTTCATGATCTACTCAATGGAGAGGGAACTACCATGGAGTGCAACTGGAAAAGTATCAAGGCGGTAATCGTTTCAACATGTCAGGAGGTTCTGGGCTAAAGGAAACACCATCACAAGGAATGGATCCCTGTTGGTACACTAGATAAGATTGAAGAAAGGAGGAACAAGAAGGCAGCAATCAATATCAGCCGTACAGTAGCAGAACAAGCCAGGGCATAAGCCGAATACACTCAATTATTCATAATTTACCACTTGCGCTTTTCAATTAGAATTTATCTTGCTTGTAGTAATACGTATAACTGACTCGAGATTTGAGTCTGTAAACCAACATCTGAATTCGAACTTAATGTACACCATTCATGAATGAAGTTCTTCTTAAGCTCACTTTCACCCTAAAAAGCAAACATTCGATGAGAAAGATTGCTTAGACTGTGAAAAAGTTTTATTAAACGCTACATGTTTTAAGTGTTCGTTTTGGTTGTCACCTTCCGATTCTATCAGTTCCGTCTCTAGATCGCTGCCTCATTATCGAAAAGTAGACTGATTATTAAGTTAAACTGTGGTTCAGATGTTTTAAATCGCTAAACCGTCATGAGAATTTTTAATTGATTTCTGAAATCTGATAATTTTGTCCCTGGGCTGATTCCAACGAGACAACTTGTATCCCCAATGTTTGGAAATGTATGTGTTTACATTCTTCAAGTTGCAGATTGAGTCTGATTTCAAACGCCTTAGCTTTGATTCACAATTCATGTACATGAACATTGTCATTCTTTAATTTCTGATTGAATTCATTTAGCCTGTTAAGTATTTTGAAAGACTGCAAAATTAGAACTATTAAGTTGTTTGGAGACGCATGTGCACTTTTCGTGTTTAAAAGAATATCAAAATATACTCCTTTCAACTGCTCATCCATCTCAGTGCTTCTAAAATGGTGGGCGGCATGAGACTAAAACTATAAAAAATATTATTTGGAGAAACATTTACATAAATGTCTCATGGGAATAAATGTAACTAGGTGGATGGACTAAAAGATTTAACAATATTAATATACTAAACAAAAATAGAGATAAACCCTACCATTCTGAACCTTTTGGCTCGGTGGCAAATTAGTATTGTCATCAGAAATAAATTTTTTACTATTTAAAATTCCATCCACTTCCATTACTTTTCTGATTGGTTTTATTTAGATCTTTTACCTTTATTTATCAAAGATTTAACTTAATTTAAAAATCATAAATTCAATCAATTCATTAGTTATTTTAGTAAATATCTATTACAATTTACAAGTCATTCTACATTTCACTAAATTAGATATGTTATTCCCCACTAATTCCGCTTAATTCTTGTCCCAAACGCACCAAGGGCTCATGATTGGGCATTTTTCTAATAAATTTATATTTAAGGAGATGCGCACTAAATTTTATCTTTCTTACCACGTCTAGTGAAATAGATTTCTTATGTTCGGAGTTGAATCTAGTGACACAAATCGTTTTCTTTACTTAATATCTATTCTTGCAAGACTAAATTTTAATAAACAGGTAATCAGATTTCAAGTTTTACATTTATTGAATCTTTTTAGAAATTAATGGTTAAAAAAAACAATGATTAACTCTAATTCAGAGTTAACATATTAATCAATGACTGGATTTGGTATTACCCGTAATAATTTCAACCTTTTTTAGATTGCTGGAAACAGTTCCTGCCCCAATAGAACAACTTACATATATATTAGATGCTGATCATAAAACTTTACTGTGTGGTATAAATATGAGGCAACTGAAGAAAACTCATATAGAATTTCCACTAAGTCGAGAAATTCTAAAACTTAGAGAAATATCTGCTGTAAGTTTGACAAACACAGTTGAAAATTTTGTTTGGTTACAACTTTCTAAATGAACTTCAGGGCTCAGGTCACTTTACACGTTTTGAGATAGTGTTTCTCATCAAGTAATAAATATTTTCTTATCTGGAATGATAATTATTTGTATTGAACAATCGATTAAACGAACACACAAGCAAAACAGTATGATTCAGCAAACGGAAATGTCAGTTTTTTTATGGATATATCTTAAGAGTTAAAACTTTATTTATTTAATTATGAAGAAATTTATGAATCTTAAGGTTTGATTAAAATCTGGTCTAAATGTATTTCTGAATTAACCAAGTGAGTGAAGAAGTCGGGAGTATTGATTATATAATTTACCTTGTAAGTTCCTAGTAAGTTAATGTCTAACGAAATCTCGGCTTGAATACAAACTCACTTATCTTCCATTGGTTCGTATGCATTCTGATCCAGATGAGATTAATCTGTCTTTAGAAGAGGATGTACTGAAAATCCGTTTTCTCTATGTATATTTATGGTTATGGGATATACCTTTGAAATGTAGAGGATATAAATAAGTCGTAGGTATTTGATGATAGGTATGTTTGCAGAATTGCTTACGTATAGTTTAGAGATAGTATAAAGGTAGTAAGTATTGGCGTGAGTTGTGACGGGTTGAACACGTGTCCCGCTTTAGTCTGTAACTAGTTGACTACTACATTAAAGTTGCAAATGAATTAAATCAGCAATTTCACTATAATACCTTACAGTTGTTTAATACATTTTGTTAATATATAATATATATGTAGAATTTATTGGTTGTTGAAACGTGCACCACCACTTAACAACCAAAAGGTTTCACACAGTTTGGTTCATAAAGTGCTACAAGTATGTAAAAAACATGGGAAATTTCTTCGTAAAAGCAAATGTGCAAAAATAATATTTAAATAAGTAGCGTTTACCTTACACTATATGACCACCTGGTGCGATCAGTATCATAGTTCCAGTAAGAAATCGAACAGATTTTTCCTATGAACTTGAGTTAGTGGAACTTAGACAGATCAAAGAAACCTCTTAAAAAACACCACGAGTTGTAAACAACATTTGGGTTCCTTGTGAATGATGCAAAAATAATATGGAATACATATGAGTATCAAGATATAAAACTCTGCCCGTTACTCTTCTAGAGTTACTGTAGCGAATGCATCCAGTAAGAAAACAACTTTACAAAAAAACACTAACCAGAATAAACAAATTAAACCATTTGAACCCTACCCTGGGAGTTAAATGATCTTCATACAGAAAAATTATGACGCCTCAGGATGAAAACCGAGATTCTTCGGAAGTCATGAAGCTAACGCTCCTTCTAACAACCAGATCAACAACTATTAAAGGTACATGGAACGTCCGGACAATGTGGTAGACCGGAGGGACCAGTAAAATAGCCACTGAAGTGGGAAAATACAACTTGACAGTACTCGGAATCAATGAAATCCACTGGACCCAAGCTGAAAAAAAGAGTAGATTCAGGTGTGATACTACTGTACACTAGTCATGAAAATTAAAATACTTCACACATACAAGGAGTGGCAATCATACTATCCAAAGAAGCACAAGATGAACTTGTAGGATTTGTATCACATGGATCCAGAATCATCAAAGCATTCTTTAAAACAAGGAAGGAGGGAGTTATAATGAACGTTGTCCAGTGTTATGCACCCAACAATGACAGCAAAGAAGATGGCAAAGATCAGTTTCATAAGGGACTGCAATCAATAATAACGAAGTGCTCAAGAAAGAACCTGATCATCCTGATGGGAGGCTGAAACGCGAAAGTAGGAGTGGACAACACCGAGTGTGGAGATATCATGGAACGACATGGACTAGGAAAAAGGGACAAGAATAGCGAGATACTTGCGACTTCAACAAAATGGTTATATGTGCCACTATATTCCCCACAAACGCATACACAAAGCTACATGGATCTCACCGGACCACACTACAGAGAACGAGATAGATCGTATTTGCATCAGTAAAAAAATCCAGAATGTCAATAGAAGACGTGAGAACCAAAAGAGGAGCTGACATAGCTTCAGATTACGACTAGCTGGTGTTTTCTAAAATGAAACTGAAGCTAGAGAAGCAATGGACAACTGGAGAAACAGTATTACAAAGGTTCAATACAGCTTGCTTCGAAATACTGACAAACTCGACCAACACAAGATAACTCTCAACAACAGGTTTCAGGTCTTACAGGGTCTACTAGAAGAAGAGGAAACTATTAAGAAGAACAACTGGAAAGCGATCAAAGAGATATTAAATTCAACGTGCTAGTAGGTGTCCGGCCGCAGTGATAGCAATAAATGCTGCAAGAGGAGGATGTTTGAGACAACTATATGATACGAAGAAGAAGATAGCTGGAAAGTACATCAAACCAGAGAATCCAACCAAATACAAAATGGACAAAACGATCACTGAAATTCAAGTGAAGCTTAAATGTTGAGCGTAACACTTTTAAGAACTTTTGAATAGAGCAGACCCTCTAAAACCATCGGGCATCGAAGTATCACCTACAGACCATTTTATAGATGTTACCCGACCAAGAATCAAAAAAATCAGAATGGACACGAGAAAAATGAAGATTGGGAAAGCACCGGGGCCAGATAACATACTAGCTAGAGCACAAAAGTCAGATACAGAAGCAATTCGAAAGGCAGTCCACATGCTCTTTAGAGTGATTTAGGAGGAATAGCATGTCCCGATAGACTGGAAAGAAGGATACCTCATCAAGATAGTGAATAACGAAGAATGTAATAAGTATGAGTACTACAGAAGCATTATACTAAGATCAATAACAAATAAACTTTTCGACAGAGCGTTGTTGATTCAGTAGAAGACCAACTTCGAGATCAACAATCTGGCTTTCGCAAGAACCAACCAAGTATGTAAGTTTCAGGGGAAACAATTTTTAATTCATGAATGAAACTGAAAAGCTGTAGTTACTAATCAAGGCTGTGTTTTACTTCGGTAACTTCCTTGAAAATATTGCTTATGCGGTTTATTTAAACTTACATTAGTATAAACTAGTATTTTTACACAAATACTCATAAAAACTCCCAGTTACCCCTTGCTTTGAACTATTTTCGATGTTTATTCAGTATAACTGGAGACGGGATATTAGAAAGGTGAGCGAAGTTCTTAATACTGTTCTATTATTATTATAAGGCCAAAGAGAACCGATAAAAGATAAAATGACTGTAAATTATAACATTTGTAAGGTTTGTTTCAAGAAGTGATATGAAGTGAAATGTTGTGACTGTAGAATCTTTAAAGCATAAAATAAATCATATTTCTCAGTTAGCTTTCACATATTTAAGGTTTAGTAAATTTCAAATAATCTATATCCACAAAAGTGTGTGCTAACATCAACAAATTTTGTGTATTTACATACAATTAATTTTTTGAACCATCAATTTTATTATTCATTTATTTCTTTGACGCTTATCTTCCACAATTGCTTAAATATATGGAGACACAAATATTTCTACCCATTGGAGAACTCACTCAGTATCGAGACCCAAAGCCTATGAGAAGGTAAGATATTTTCGATACACCTAACGAGACAATTTATGAAAACGATTAGTTCCTCACAATTTTTTCACTAAAACGTTCTTTCTGGTTATAATTATTCAGTGAATAATAAAAGATCTCAACATGTATAAGCAGTATTTCCTACTCAATGCTTCAATACGGCATGTGATTCATAAATCGTTTCTACGGAAACTTTCTAAATAAGTTCTTAAATCTTGAGGTCATCAGACATAGGCTAATTGATAAATGCACGAGTCTACAGGGAGACTGGGTATAAGTATCAAAGTCGAATAACACAGGTTGTATGCATTACATAAATCTTGCAGCCCAAATCGACAGCAAATGAATTCCTCTAATGGAAAAAATTTAGATATATAAGATAGGTACAGATAAACATAATTCACTTTCACATTCAGGATAAACTTTTCCATATTCAATTCACTAAATAATCTTAGTCGTTAAAAAGGTGATCACTAAATATTTTGCTGGTAACTTTCAAAGGTGGAAAATGTTCCAGTTATACATTCAGAAAAGGTTTATATTATTTCAACTCAATTCAAGATTTGCAAATGCAGCATAAATTATATAGTTCTCATATTTTATGAGGATATTCTGTAATTTTGTATCTCATGATAAATTGACTGTCCCTACCTGAGGTCTCGATCACTACATTTGGTGTCACTGCCAACCAGGAAGCGGGGAGGGTGCAATTCTGTGGACTTCGTTACGTAGCCTGGAGAGAAAGCGCTGGTTGGGCCAGTATGGTGCGAAGAGGTGGCGTCGAGTAGTGTTCTAGCGAGGCGGCGTTAACTGTAGCAGTTACTGTCGATGGAGTAGAGCAGTGGGTCGTGCAACTGCTGGGCGGACATTAGATTAAGATGGACCGGCTGGTCAACGTTGCTATGGGGGTCAGCGCGCCAGTGGACTCGACATTTTAACGGAGAGAGTGGCACAGACTGCGGCAAGGGGGAAAGTGGCACGGCTAGCAGGACCAGTGCAAGAGCGACTGTTTAAAGAGGAGACGAGCGTAGTGCATGCTACTTGTATCTGTTAACATAAAGAGTATACAATACCAATTAGAAGTGGAACACCTGATAGCCAAAGTCTGGGAAGATCGAATTGATGAGAATCGGAACAGAAAGTAATTGTTACGATAATGAAGAAACAATGAATTTTGAGTCAATTGATGGAAGATTTGAAAATAAAGTATTCATTGTATGGTTTTCACATTTTACGAAAGAACTCTGTAATTTCGTATCAAACAATAAATTGGTCGCTTCTACCTTAGTGTTTGTTCATTACATGTGTGATACTGTCCACCAAAAACATTGTACATCGTATACTTTACCAATGATTTATTAGTCATTGTTGCGATAAAATTATCACACGAAAAACACTTATCTGAAAGATGATGTTTAAATGAGAGACTTCTCGTGCAATATTCATAAAATGATAATAAGTGATTTTGACTTATAGCCTAATAGAAAAACTTTGTTTCATTTACAAATGCTTATTGTTACAAATGATACTAAAATCGAACTTTTTTATAATGTGTATATTTAACTGTAGTTTTTAATTCATTTTCATAGGAGCCTAGGAAATATTCACGTGAGTTTCTTTAAAATAATTTATCCAATAATGGTTTGTCTCTTACATTAGTGTTACACGTCACATAAAACGTGATTATAGACCCATAGTGACACTGATTAACTTATTGAACATAGCCTATTACTGTTGTAAGATGTCATCCAGTATGTCGATGAATACATTATATATTGTCTTTACTTTTAATTTGTTTAGAACTCTGAATTATCTGTGATTTATTATACACAGAAAGATGAGGAAAAGTATTTGCACGCGTAAACTCGCTGAGGTTCATATTATGAACTTAGACAAAGTTCTTAACGTCGGATTTAATGATAAGGTGCCTGATACATATGTATTAGAAACGCTAAGTACCAAAGAAATCTAGTTATGGTTTTAGAGGAAAGTATGAGATTATCGTTGTTTCCGTTGATATTTATTTATTATATGTGAAACTGATTTTTCATTCCCATTACGATTCACTGACCTACATAGTCCCAGTGGCTTAAATATATTTGTAATATTCAAACTAAACATTTTATATACTGAACTCCTTTATTACATATTCAATATACATTTATAGTTCTTAACCAAATATTTATTAGTATTTGTTAAAGCAATACTTGCTGTTTGTAAAACCGTCTTGAGGACTGAGACCGATCCTTTAGTACGCTCATTGAATCTAAAACCAATACAAAGAATTTTTTCTGTAATACGGTCCTATTATCAAACAATTATCAAGCGATCTACTTTATAAATCTCAGTTCATGAGACAGTTGTTAAAGGGTTTACTTGAGTCATAATACGATCTAAGAAGAAGTGATTCTTCCAATAGCTAAGAGAGCTATATAAGAGCAATTTATGAAAAACGTATGATAAACTAAGTAACAGTCAGTAGCTGTGTCAAACTGTACGGCAAATCGAAGCGAAAACTAACCATATTAAGTATAGAAACCGCGGTGAACAAATGGGTGGTTAGTGGGCATATGAAACGAAGAAAAGAATGTTGGGCGAATAAAGTTACAATAGCGAATTGATTAAATGTCACGAATTTATGTTAATCCTTGAAAACATGACACAACAAGGAACATGCATCATAGGCTATATGTTCAACAATTCTTGACAATATATATTAGCAGTCATCATAACATAATCACAAGAATAATGCCAGTAAGAAAGAAATGATAGTGAAAAGAGAAGGAAGTATTAATCCTAGTTGTTTCTTAGATTTGAAATGAAAATTCTTGGTTATATTCATGATAGAGCCCAAAGATTTGTCACTAACCATGCTAGCATCATTACAGGTCTTATGCGATATAGCTAATTTCATTCTCGAATTTCAGTAAAAATTCAAGGAAGAACAAAACCGACCCATGCTAAGATCAAATCAAAATGTAAATTGTTGAAATATTTTTAAAAAAGCAATCATGCTGCACTAATTTGTGGTCATTCAAAATTTTACTCTTAATAAACCATCAAACTATCAGTTTAGTAACGAGAGATATGAAGACTTGTTAATAGATATGCTTAAACTTCATTGGTGTAATTTTTCTCAATGAATGCATTTAATTGATGAATATGTAAACAGGTTATTTGTGAGTCAAGTTAAGCAAACTTCATACAGAAAATATAAATTAAACCTATTGTTGAAGAATATTTTTAACGTAACTAGACTTTAAAGAAATATTTATATGATTTCCGAAGCTGTGCTTAGGCTAAAATCACTCGGCAAATAATTACTCAAATTGAATGGAGTTCGGTTTTAAAGTATCAATCTTGGAAGTGTTTTTTAATCAATACATACTTCTACTAAAATCCTGAGTCGTATGAGTAAACTTTAAAATCAACTAAAATTGATGCTCGGTCAAAAAAAGATAATAATAATAATAATAATAATAATAATAATAATAATAATAATAATAATAATAAGGAAAAACTGAAGACATCAACTAGCACTATGTATAGATAATCTGTAATGCTTGAAACTTCGTAAATTTCGTCGGTCAAAGGAGAGAAAATAGAAACCAAATACTCACCATCAGATGATAATGATGGTTTTGAAGTATCTATCGACAAATACTAATCACTGCTTTTCGGAAGAACGAATTTACACGGCATTGCAATGTAATTTTATTGATACCAGATATTTGTCTGATTACTTTGTCGGCGAAATATTCCGTTTATGCGCTACCAAGGAACACCAATATTATCCCCCCATAGATAATCAGTTTTTCAAATTGAAATTTTGGAAAACACTCCAATTCTATGTTAATAAATCAGCTTGAGACATTAGCATTTTGGAAAACTGTTTTCCGTAATGGTTATTTCATACGTGAATAAACTAAAATAAATCGTTTGATTTATTTGATATAATATATTTTTTGAACAACATACATAACCCTCTTTTGTAGGAAAAAACGTTCAGTGATACAAACGACGGCAGTAGGTACTTTTTTAAAGAAAGTAATTCGCAAAACGAAACGAAATCGGTATCACAATATTCATATATGGAGATGAATTTGAAATTTCGGGACCCATTTGACCAGAAATCTAAAAGAGGCACTCAAATGTTGGTTAAAACTACGATTTTTATGTTTCTTTTTCATCCGTGCTGTGTGTATAGGCGCCATATGTTTAGAATCATTACGAGGCTCTTATTTTACACTTAGTGACAATAAAATAAGTTTAAATATCTCATAAAAAAACTTAGTTAAGCGAAATATGGAACAAGGAATCTACCATATGTGCTAATCATTAGATGTTAGAAAACTCAAAGCCAAAATAAAGGTAGAGGTTACATTTTTCTAGACTTATGTAGCATTCTATTCCCTTGTTTATACACTCTATTACCCTGGTCAGTCAGTCATGATCAATGCAGAGCCTGACATAAATGTCCACGGGGCCAAGTAACCATACCACAATAGCACGACGAAACGAATATAAAAAATGAATAGTAATGGAATCGAAATAATGTAGCAGCAATGATGTTGCGAAAGATTGGACACTGAGAATATGTTTCAAAAAAAAAATAAATGCCTTACCGGTCTATCCCGTGACGTATGCACGTGAATTTCTCGTGTGAATCGTCAGGCTGGAGAGGAAGTGAACACGACGACAATCGAAAAATGGTGAATTATACTTTCGAAGGCAACCTAGAGTAGACCGTGCTACAGAACCATAGCGATTCGGATGTACAAATCGATTGTATAACGGGAATATAGAGGTGAAAGACTGGTGGTACTATCTAGTGGTTTTTTTCTTTTAGTACTACCTGAATATTTAGTTCTACCTAGTAAAGTAAAGAATTAGAATGCGTCAGGAAAAACCTATAACCTTTTCTCCAACGTTGAACAGGCAAGTGGACCGTTTTCCGAAGTAAGGTAGTTTGAATATGGGGACGTGTCGTTAGGATGTCTAACGCGAGATACTACAAAAGGTGGAGATCAATCTAGACTGCAGGATGATGACCATGAAGGACATTAAGAAGTCTGTAATAAGTCATTTCCTAAATCAACTAACCCTGACAATCCATGGGACCCAGACATTAAATTTATGAGGGGTCTAAGTTATGAGTGAGAATGCTGTATTTAGTCAAGACATGGAGCAGCTGGAAACGCAGGTGCACACGTTGGTGGTGACATCAATTCTTAGAACCGTGAAGGTGTTATATCGATTGAGTGCGTGCCCTGTTATTATATATGAGGTGCTGATTCCCGCCAATGAGAGAGGAGTGGATTATTGATCAGAGTAGTAATACACAAAGTTCGTATGAGCAGTCTTGAATACTTATCAGTCCGGCTTTCTGCCTATCCCAGCCAGTTGAGTCCAGAACAATAACAGCCTCTACAACATGAATTATTATTCTCAAACATACTGAGTTTATATACCAAACAAACTGACCACATCGTACCACGAAATAGAAAATAACATTTGTACAATATTTGGTCAAATGTGGCTGTGAATAGGGGGAACAGTAATCAATAGACTGGGGATAACTCAAGAATGGTAAATCGTATAATAATATTCCATAGGTCAAAATAAAGCTTATCATAGGAGGGACACGAATATGAATAGTTCAGTTACTTAACAATTTTACAATAGGAAAAATACATATCATATTGGTCCATAGACAGTCCTCAAAAGTTATAATCCATAATTCTCTTCGGGATATAACAGAAAGCAAAGGTGAGTCTCACGGCTTCTTCAGTTATCAGACTTAAAATAATATCTGTGTAGTATTAATGTTTCAGTTAGCTTTGTTTCCGATTACAATTAAATCTGTTAAGAAATCTTTTTTTACTTTAAACAGGCTTCTCAATATACCGAATTTGGAAATAGCTAAGTGCCTCCAACTCTCATATTGTAATAATGTAATTAAGAGAGTGATAGGCCATACAAAATACAGATTACCCGATATGCCGTGTCTGACAACTGACCGCAAATTAAATAATCTTATTACATTATTACTCTCTTGTATTATCTGTTATTTTACGTTGCCTATGATTATGCATGAAATTAGTCGATTTTCTGACGGTTTTATGTATGACAGCTCTACTCTAAAATTTTATTCATACATCAGGCATATAGTAAAAAACGCAACTGAAACATATTCAGTTTTGTGTTCCAAACTTTTTGACATCAGTATTCAATATTCAGACGGTTGTCCTCCTATATAAACGGATGAGCCCTATTCAAAACTTCAGTGCTAATAATTCCTGTTTGTTAGTTTAAGTGGATGAATAAAGTTCTACTGACAGTTTTCACTGGATATTTTTGTTATATTTATTTCTTAAAAGTGTGCTTTACTAAAATCTTGATTTCCCGCACGTTTTCTACCCAATCGAATACTTTGATAGTTATGTCGTAATGACCATTCAACTACAGAATCCAAGTGGATGGATTTTCACAGTAAAGGACCAGTATATAGACCTCATAAGCTTTTAGTAGCACTAGTTTATTGCATATCTTTATCGACAAACTTCGTGATTAATAATATTAAGGAAGGAAATTTTGGATAAACGTTCATATTTCATGTACGAAATTTTCAAAAAACCCACAGTCACTGAATTATTTTACTGATGACTTTTTAATCGTAATACTTTATGAGTATAAATGAGAGTTGTGTATTAAATCCTATTTACAAACTTCCAGATAAGTCTTGGAGAACATATACAAAATAAATTAGTCGTACATATGGATGTGTTAAACACTGAAGGATAAACCGATTAATATATACTTATATTCTAATAGGTACATATGCTCAATGAATGAGTTAGTAGAAAAACTTTCAGTGTTGAAAAATTGCTTCTCTTTTTGTATGAGAATTTAATTAACCAAAGTCACGATATTTATTACACAGTACTTTGGATATTATAAACAGTTTTCTTTAAGAAAAAAAATCACAATACAAGTATATTTATTCAGAATATTATAATCATGTTATTACTTTAGCATAAGAGAAAAAATGAGATCGAAAACTTTACAGAGTCTAAAAATATAAAAATTTCTTGACCTAAAAGCAAATATAAAATTGTTTATGACGGTTTATATATATATATATATATATATATATATATATATATATATATATATTCATCTTTAGAAATTCCTTTCTTAAGTTAAACTAGTCCGTCCACTATTTAGGAAAGATATACAAGAATAGAATTAAAAAATGAAAGGCAAGCCAAATTAAATATGTACACAAATAAATGAAAAGTAATAGGTGTTGCGGTAGTAGAACGACACATCGAAAGACTCTGAAGCAAATTCATTGTAGTCAAAGTTAATATATTATACAAACTTTGAATACAGAAAATGTCACACATTTAACAAGTAAGGTTTTCACAACAAACAACTATTTTCAAAATAGATTAAAAATGTAATTTTAAAACACAGTAAATATAAAGTAAGACATACACAGATGCATTAAATAAAAAAATATCTGGAAAAAAATGCAGACACCGTGTGCTAGATATAGGTGTTAAAAACATTTATGTGAGACTGACCTTCAAAAATTACCTAAAAATAATAAATGCATCCAACCTAAATGGTGAAAATAGAACAGATAGGAATCACAGAGAAAATACATTATTCGTTGACAGACCTGGAAAATAAATCAACGTGGGAAAACAGAAAGAGATCAAATAAATGTAGAATGTAGTGAGACAAACGGACTAGAAGGACTCTTGGAACTTTCCGCCTGGTGAGGAAACTCGGAGACCTCATCGACACTATTATCTGAAGGACAAAGGAGGAATGAACAGGACTCCAAGCATGAGCAATCACTGTCTACACAGCTAGGAAGTGATCGGTTTCGGAAAAGATTTAAAAACGCAGGTCTATGTCGTTCACGCATTGCTTGACTTCGATGAAGAACCCTCTTCACGGCCATTTCGGAAGTCGAGTTACCATTGTAGCATTCAGCTAAAGTCTAAAAGTATTTGTAGGAAGAGACAGTTAAGAAGTAGGATATATTCGAAAAAGCTAGCATGAATACAAGCTTTTTTTAGAAAACACTAAAGGCAAGACAGGTGAACAGTATTTATTCTTTCAAATGGACTTTTTATATCACAACATTTCAATCATTTGTTAAAGAACCACGATAAGAAAAAGAATTTATTATTCAAAAGGTCAAAACAAACAAATAATCTTCCATCACGGGTAAACACTAACTAAAAGAACCTGCTAATCATATTGCATCTGTAATAAAAATTGTGACTACATGACAATATCGAGGCTATTTGTTCAGGATGCACACGTGTTAATAGAGACCAATTAACTGCAGTCCTGAATAGCAAACATGGAAAATTACAAACTCTTACTAATATGTAATAAATATTTTAAACAATATAGATATATTAATGATCAGATCGAATTTTTTGTCTTGATACTGAATAAAACATGCTTGGAGATAACAAACTAGACCTCTAACGCAAATGAACCCGATCCATTCGTCATATTGCATTGTTGTTTCACAACATTCAAAGAATTCATTGATTTATCGGGGTACCGGATCGAAAACGAATGAATAATGACAATCAGAAAGGATATAAATGTTAGGATGTTTGATGAATATTGCAAAAGTAAACACCAATAGTCAACAACATCAGCATGTATAAAGTAATAACACCATATTCCTTACAAATAAGTAAGAAAAGTAAATGACCTAAAACACTTGATACAATGATTATATACTCAAATAGAAAAAAAGGATCAAAAATAAAACCCTAAAAACGATACATCGTGAGACTTTAATCTCAAATTGCAGTTGAATAAATATGAGTTATCCTAAAAACCTTATCAAAAAAAATCTAAATAGTTGCGTAATGGAAGCAATAGGAACATATATTTGAATAAACAAAGCAAGCGTACTAAAAACTAACCTCTTCTTTTCCCGCATTATCTGAATATGGTTGAATCACATTACTTAGTTCCTCAGATTGAATTGGCACAAGAGTTACACGATCATCATCATCTCGACAGGTATGAATATTTACATTAAGATTGTAGGAATAGTCATTATTTTCTGGGGGCTTATCTGAATCACTTAAATGTATTTTCGAAGGTGAATAAAAGTTCTGAGGCCGTTGAGAGTGTTTTGGTGGTGAAGAGGAATTTAAAATAAAATTGGGATAATCTGATTTATTTGCGTCATCATAACTTTCAAACTCTGATCCAGATTCAGATTTCGAATTCTCAATGAACAATGCATGAATATTTGGATAAACATCAGATTTCGAAAAAGATTGATTATCGTTAGAACGTTGGAGGGAATCGGATTGAGATGTCTGATTTGAATAGGAGGAATAATAAAATTTAGGATCTTCAGATGGTTCATAAATGGTCCGATTAAGAAAGCCGTCTTGTGTTGCCTGTAATGTAAGTTTAATTTTTGTAAATGGACAAAGATAACTACTGAAAAAAAGTTGACCGTTACACTGAGCCATTTGCCTACAAGCTCTTACAGACAACAGGCAAACGAATATTCCAAACCATAAAGCATCGTACTAACAATTTTTGCTGGATCACCATTGTTCCTAAAAGAATCACGAGTTTGGGTATCACTAACTTTGTACAACTACTTATTCTCGACCGTTGCTGCTACCTTGACGTGGTGGTCGGGCTTGCCTATCGTGATGATCCAATCGAGCTATGCTGGCTGGAACAATCGTTCCTCAAGGTCCTACCATGCCAGACAGGTCGGTTGAAGAGCGGTGAGACTAAAAGCAGCAATCCCAAGGTCCGAAGGCGAAGTCGTACTGCTGACTGTACAGAGGTGTGAAAGCAGTAAGGTGTTTCCTTCAGACAACCAGCATGACAGCGATGCTGCCTTCCCACAAGGAGGGGTGGGGTTAGAAAAGGTCGACCCTAAAAATGCACACCTCGCCTTATCCCACGGATTTCCGTCTCCGGCGGTAAGGACTTTTGAAGAACGGAGCTAACACATCAAAAATCCCCCACAAAAAGGCCGTGCGTGACCGGTCTCAAGCAGATGTCCCTTGGGCACTGCGGTCACGCTCCCAGGTCGTTAAGACCAACACTAATCCAACTTCTTTTTCAGGTCCCTCAAGAAATACCCTTCCACGGTGTGGGCAGCCGGGAAGTGATACTAGCCCTCATACCCTTAACTGCACACTGACTGACAACTACTTATTGATGACGAGAAAAAACAACAATAACTCGGACTGATTCTGTAGTGAGAGCTATTTTACGCCTAAATTAGAAAGTATCTTCCACACAAATAATGACCGAAATATGTTAAAACAGATGAATCCTAACATGATTGATTTCAAATGTTAAAATGAGAACATTTAAATAATCAACCAAACTAACACGATATGCTTACACAGTAAAAATCCAAAATGAATAGGACCCAAAGAAGGAACAATTCATTTTACAAGAAATTATCTATCAGTCCAAATTTCTCAAAAGAAACAGAATTAATTCATAAACGTTATATGCTAGCATTGTTTGACAGTATTTGATTTTATAATCATAAAAATGACTTGAAAACCCACTGTCAAATGCTGTGTAAACGATAAATATAGTCTGCAAGAAAAAAAGCTCACCTTTAAGTACGCATCACGCGACATACCAACAGGATTCATTGATACGAGAGAATGAGAAAACTGACTAGTAGAATTTCTTTCGATTGAAGGACCAACAGACTCAGATATTGAATGTTTATCTACTGACCTTAAACAATCTGAAATCATACTCGACTGACAATCAATTGACAATCTTCGACACGATAAAAAAGAACAGAATGAAGAGCATATATCTTTATGTAACTCTTTACTATGCTCAAATGACCACCTTTGTGCTAAGTGTGAAGAAGAGGGTATGTATGGTAGTGTTGTCTTAATAGTGGCTACATCTATGTCTTTATTTCGTGTGCCATTTTGACAATAGTCAATGTAAACAGAAAGGTGAGGACAGTGAAATGCATTATTTAATTTACCTGTGGATTCATTTTTTGCAACTATTTCCATTTGATTATCATTACATAAATTACAGTGAGTATATTGATAGGAATTATTGTTATTATTATCACTGAGCTTGGTGTGCTTACATTGTTGTTGCTCACCTATTTTTTGTTTGATATCTTTCAAAAATTCATTATGTTGATGAATGAAATAGTTTTCTCTCTTATCACTTGAAATCATTTCATGTGATGGAATGATTGAAAAATTGGAATGATTTATTTCCTTCATATTTGGAGATGGATTAGGTCGCCTTCCACTTCCTGCGAGCATACCGAGAAATGGTGAATGCGGGTCCTATACGCAAACATGGAAAAGTTACACAAATACAGTGCTAAAACCTAAGATTTCAACAGGAGAAAACAGTTGCTTATTTAGACGTTCAATAATGCAGAATAATGTACATTTTTAGATTTTTACACAGGTATACAATATTAGAGAAGAGTACCTTGAATGTCCAAACGATAAACAATACCTAAAACAAAGATTGTTCAAAATAGAACATTAAAACTGCACACTTAAAAATGAATGCAACGCTTAGTACACGATATCAGACATTGTGACTAGATGTTACATCAACGCTGTCAACTTGTAAAACTATGTCTTCCAAGTCTGTTATGCTCAGCAAAATATATACAAGTAAGCGATCCGTTACTTAAAAGCCTAGAAAAAATATGGCCCAAAATTACGGTGAAATTATGTTTGATACAGTCCGATCAGATGAAAACTTTTTGTTATGACTGGATGAAAAAGGCAAAATTAAATTCTTTTACTAATTGTGATTTTCGTTCGACATTACTTCCGTTTTTCATTCAATGTAATAGTTACTCAGTGTAATATTTGTTTTATTTTTCAGTGTGATACCTTTCTTCGATGTAACATTAATTGATTTGAGTGGGATGTTTATTGAAGATACTATATTCTTGTATTAAGTTAACGTGAACTATACCCAATATAACACGCAGCATGTGATTTGTCATAATTCTAGGTATTTTTCATATATGTGATTTCATCTTAATTAATAGACAAAACGAGTGTACAATCAATATATAAATGAGTGTATTTTCGACTAGGGTCATCGTCGCGTTTTAGGGTTAATAAATATTCACTTGTACCAGTCTTGGTGTTGTTACTGTGCGTCGTGGGAACTGTAGTGGTTCTACGTTTTACAAGTATAAGTAGTAAGTCACGTGGACATAACAATTAGTGATCACCAGATATAACACTTTCCACAACTGTGTCAGTTCCAGTAGTGCGTTTTTTCACGCATATTAAGTCACAGTATATCTTCTGAAGTTATTTATCAATACTTAGGATTTACTGTTCTTTTGTGTACTTTTATAGGCGTGTTTCTGAACGATATGGAAAATTATTTTACTGTGACGAATATGTTAGACTCTGTTTTGAATGACTTATATCAAAATCCACACACAACACAAAGGAGCGATGATAGTGATGAAAATAATGCACAGATAAGAAACTAAAAGGAAACAAACAATATATATCCAGACACACTATCTGTCAACCCAAGTTGTTACGGTTACTATTGAGATATTAAAAGGAAACACCAAAAGAATTACAATGTAATACTGTAATGAAAAATTACGGATTAGAAAAATGGTTAAGAACAGCGAATTATAGGTATGGATAAGCAAAACTGAAAACCAAAAAAGCATTATTTGAAGTATTATTGTGCCATCTAGTAATGATTTTGACAACTGAATATTATGAATTTGAATCATGTTTGTCGTAAAAATATTAAATCAGAGGGGGTTTTGTGGAGAATTTAGTATTTTCACAGTTGAAATCATGAGTCAATTGAAGCTAGACCACCATCGAAAACCTGGAAGCACTGCTGAGGAGTCCCATAATAGGACGAAACGGCCGTCCAGTGCTTCCAGGTTTTCGATGGTGGTCTAGCTTCAATTGACTCATGATTTCAACTGTGAAAATATTAAATGTAGTGTTCATTAATCCTCAAACAATTATCGATTTTGCTATAAAAATGTCCAAAAAATTAGTATACCATATCTAATCAAGCTCGCACATGCAACCCCTCGCCCCATTTTATGTCAACTTAAATCCAAATATTTTTACGCAGAGCTGGACAACGGCTAGCAGTGGAGTAAAAGAAGTGCTTTTCGTCTTATTCACGACCTGTCAGCTGGATGTGCCTGCATCCCAGCGAACTTCAACCCAATATTTTCCACTTTAAACGTCTAACGCGTTATCCACCTAGCTACTGAGTTGAGATAGACAATAGCTTGTACAATAGGGATGAATAATGTTTCTATTTTAAAGTCTTGGATCTTCTTGTTGTTGATGTTAAGGACTTCAATTGGTCAGTCTCTTTTGGTAAACGTGCATCCTGAGCGGATTGTCTCGATATTACCATCAATCCACAAGTAGTCTGAGTCTGCTTAAAAATGATTGTGACTGATGCCAATAACCAGGCAATCCATTCACGATGCACATGTCATGAAAGAGACTAACTGATTGTAATCTTTAAGATCAATACCAAGAAGATTTGAACTTTTACAACTTAATTTTTAATGCAAACAGTTTCAAAATTTACCATACATTTTCAAAAAAGTATAAGGTAAAAACTGATGGATAAAAAATAGGACTTTATTATTAGATTCTTACCCCGAATTCAACTTGATGGTCTGGAAACTTTTCATATGGGTGGACAGAGTCAAGGCCCATATTTACACAAACAGGACATTTTAAAGAAGTATTGTATTTATAATTGCGACGACGATCAGCGCTCTGTATACGTCGTGTGTTTTGAATTGAAAATTTGTACTTGCGCTTTCCAATAGGACAGACTGAATTACTCGATAAAACATGCTGAAAATCAGATTCGTTTTGTCCGAATAGTAATGACGAGTTAGTAGCATTTCTCACTGCATTCTTCTGTTTATTATAACTCTGACTGGACTGTGAGGTACAATATGCAACAGGATAGGAAATCTTCCCAAAATTATGGAACGAACGTGGTGTAGAATAGAGAGGAATTAAAGAATTAGCTTTCTCATCATCAATATCAGGTTCAACACCCCAAAAACAAAAGGAAGCTAGAAGACGAAATGCTGACAACAGCACATTTTCAACAGTTGAATTTCTAGTGGGCTTCAGGAAATAAGAGCTTTCAGTAATATCTGAGCTAAAACAAGCAGTAGGGGGAGTTGTAGTAGACAGAGATCTTCCGGAGAAATGTTGAGTACAACCAGATGTTGGCAACAGCATAGAATGGTCACAAATCATACAAAGTAATTCGTTAAGTTTCCTGTCAAATAAACTTTCATCAGCATTACTCTTCAGCTGATCATTGGTTTTAGGATATCGAGTAAAAAAGGTAACCGGTCTACAATAAATATTATCAATAAAATAAATAAAAGAGAGTGAATAGTAAATAATACATAGATGACGGAATTAGTATTTAACCAATTGTTACATTTATAAGTAACAAGTTCAAAAAGCATCCATTACAGAATTTAATCTGGAATAAACGTATATGTTTCAAACTTTTCGAAGCATTTGAAGATCATACTAATCATAAGGGTTTGAAAACCAGCGCTGATAACGTTGTCTAGCACAATGAAACCTCCGTAATCAAACCATCAATCTCAACTCAACAGTATCAAAATCCCGGTCAATCTACAAAGCAAAATCATTGTTTAGAAAGAGACATATTGCGAAAGAAGGTAAGATGGTGTTCGATTCGTTTTATTTCAAAAATATATGTATCGCTTAGGAGAAATGAAAAAGACAACTTCAACCAAATGAAGTGTAACAGGTAATAAAGACAAAGTTAACTACAGTCTAACTATCAAATGAATGAGATGACATTCTTGTCAAACTTGAAAAAAAGAGCTTAGAATATCGAGTATGAGAAAATCGATTCGTATAGCGCCATATGATCAATACTTATTTCTATACGAGAAATTGACACTAATCAGTATTAGATAAAGTTGGTTACATGTCATTGATCTGTAGTTTGAAAACTAAGAATGAAATAAACTGATCTGTAGTTGCGAAGAATTTCAATTTGAAGTATATTTACGCTATACGGTTAATTAGTTCAGTATATGTACACTTATTTTGTAAGTCATGATTTTAGTTATGCAATATTTGATTTAAATGAGCTTTTCTGATTGATACAAAATAATTTGTTTGGCACCTACCATTTACGCCTAGATTTCTGACTGAAAACTGATTTGAAATTATAGAATATCTAGTCTTTCTATCATTAAACACTTGATAGTATCTGGTTCTCCGAAAGACAACCACAATTATATTGTGTTGCTATTACGATTCAACATTTTGTGAATTATTTCTAACCCATTTTTAATTTAAAATGTTCCTTGCTTATCACAAATTCAGGTATACTTAAATGATTGATATAAATACCAACGAAAAATTACTGAGAAATAAACTGAATAATTACAGTAATTCAATGAATTGGTTTCTATTATTTGAGTGGACAGTTTCCAACACGAACTGAGACCGAGTAAGAATTTAATGGTCTACATTTCCAATTTTAGAACCGTTAGTCTGAATTCCTAGTGAGGTCATAAGAGCGCATTGATCGGGAATCCCAGACTAGGTTGAAACTGATGTCCAGTTTTCTGGTTTTCAATGAGTTTTCATTGAATGACAGTCAGTGACGAAAAATATCTCCAAATATCTTGGAAACAACTTAGCGGTCACGTCCAATTAAGTGCATTTCGCTTTGAGTCACATGTTTTTATATACTGATACTATCAGCCTGTCTTAGATTCGAATTTGAGACATGGAGTTTGGGATCTGAGTAGTTTGGTCACTTAACCAATATTTTACGTGAAATAAGTTGGTCAATTAAAAACGTTGGTGTAAACATAAATGAAAATCTTATTGCTGAAGACGAATAAATTTTAAAAATGGCCTACTATGATGTTCAGTTAGTCAAACGTTGCATAGGAACTAGTACGTGTGTACATCGGTTCAAGTTACCATACCCCATCAGCACAACGAGATAAAATTACTTACTTACTTACTTACGCCTGTTACCCCTCGTCGAGGAGCATAGGCCGCTCACCAGCATTCTCCATCCAACTCTGTCCTGAGCCTTCCTTTCCAGTTCTTTCCAGTTGCTATTCATCCTTTTCATATCGGCTTCTATTTCCCGGCGTAGTGTGTTCTTTGGCCTTCCTCTTTTCCGCTTCCCTTCCGGATTCCAAGTTAGGGATTGAGTCGTGATGCACATTGGTGATTTCCTCAATGTATGTCCGATCCACTTCCAACGTCTTTTCCTTATTTCCTCTTCAGCTGGAAGCTGGTTTGTCCTCTCCCATAAAACGCTGTTGCTGATAGTATCCGGCCAATGGATGTTGAGTATTTTGCGTAGACAACTGTTTATAAATACTTGTACCTTCCTGATGATGGCCGTAGTAGTTCTCCACGTTTCAGCTCCATACAGTAGGACTGTCTTGACGTTCGTATTAAAGATTCTGACCTTGAAATTAGTTGAGAGTTGTTTTGAGTTCCATATGTTCTGCAATTGTAGAAATGCTGCCCTTGCTTTGCCAATCCTCGCCTTTACATCTGCATCCGATCCTCCTTGTTTATCAACGATGCTCCCCAGGTACTTGAATGTTTCCACCTCTTCCAGAGTTTCGCCATCAAGTGTGATTGGGTTGGTGTTCTCCGTGTTGCATTTGAGAATCTTGCTTTTTCCTTTGTGAATGTGGAGGCCTATCGATGCGGAGGCTGCTGCTACATTTGCTGTCTTCATCTGCATTTGGTCGTGTGTATGAGAGAGGAGGGCTAGGTCATCTGCGAAGTCCAAATCATCTAATTGATTCTGAGAAGTCCATTGTATTCCGTATTTCCCTTCGGATGTCGAATTCGTCATAATCCAGTCAATCACTAGAAGGAAGAGAAATGGGGAGAGTAGACAGCCTTGTCTGACTCCGGTCCTTACTGGAAATGCATCTGTCAGCTGTCCTCCATGCACCACTTTGCACTGTAATCCATCGTATGAGTTTTGGATAATGTTGACGATCTTCTGAGGAACTCCATAGTGTCGAAGAAGTTTCCACAATGTTCTCCTATCCACGCTGTCAAACGCCTTCTCATAGTCGATGAAGTTGACGTATAGTGATGAGTTCCACTCAACTGATTGTTCAACGATGATCCGTAGTGTCGCAATCTGGTCTGTGCACGACCGATCCTTACGGAATCCAGCCTGATGATCCCTAAGTTCGGCGTCTACTGCGTCTTTCATCCGATTCAGCAGCACTCTGTTGAAAACTTTTCCTGGTACTGATAACAAACTGATACCTCTGTAGTTCTCACATTGGCTCAGATCTCCTTTCTTTGGTATCTTGATGAGATATCCTTCTTTCCAGTCCGTTGGCACTTGTTCCTCTTCCCAAATCTTTTTGAATAGAAGGTGAAGCATGTTTGCAGTTATTTCAATGTCTGACTTCAGTGCTTCTGCTGGTATATTGTCAGGTCCTGCCGCCTTCCCACTTTTGATTTGTCTGATGGCCATCTTGACTTCTTCGATCGTTGGTGGAGTGACATCTATTGGAAGGTTAGTGTGGGCTGCTTCGATGTTCGGTGGATTCGATGGGGCTGGTCTATTCAGCAGTTCCTCAAAGTATTCTGCCCATCTTTTCCTCTGTTCCTGAATCTCAGTGATTGTCTTTCCTTCTTTGTCCTTGACTGGTCTCTCTGGTTTGCTATATCTCTCTGCCAATTTCTTCGTTGTATCATATAGTTGTTTCATATTCCCTTCTCTTGCAGCTTTTTCCGCCGCCGTTGCTAGTTCTCCCATGTATTTCTGCTTGTCGGCTTTAATGCTTTTCTTCACTTCTCTGTTTGCTTCTGCGTAGTCTGATTGTGCTTTGATTTTCTCTGCTCGTGTTCGGCTGTTGTTAATTGCTAGTTTCTTGTTCTTTCTTTCTTGAAGTTTGTCCAGGGTCCCCATAGAGATCCATTCCTTGTGATGGTGCTTCTTAGGACCAAGAACCTCCTGACACGTTGAAGTTAGTGCTTCTTTTATCCCTTTCCAGTTGTCCTCCAAAGTAGTTTCTTGTTCTTTCAGTAGATCCTGTAGAGCTTGGAACCTGTTGTTGAGAGTTATCTTGAATTCATGGAGTTTGTCAGTATCTCGAAGGAAGGCTGTATTAAACCTTTGTAGTGCTGTTTGTCCAGTTGTCCAGTCTTTCTTTAGCTTCAGTCTCATCTTGGCCACAACCAGGTGGTGATCTGAAGCTATGTCAGCTCCTCTCCGGGTTCTCACATCTTCCATTGATCTTCGGAATTTTTTGTTGATACAGATGTGATCAATCTGGTTCTCTGTGGTGTGGTCCGGTGAGATCCATGTAGCTGTGTGTATGCGTTTGTGTGGGAATATTGTGCCGCCTATAACCAATTTGTTGAATGCACATAGGTTTGCAAGTCTCTCCCCATTTTCATTTCTCTCTCCTAGTCCATGTCGTCCAATTACATCTTCATATCCTGTGTTGTCCACTCCAACTTTAGCATTTAGATCTCCCATAAGGATGGTGAGGTCCTTTCGTGAGCACTTTGTTATAATTGATTGCAGCCTTTCATAGAACTGATCTTTATCATCGTCGTTGCTATCATTGGTGGGTGCATAACATTGGATAACATTCATTGTGATCCCTTGCTTCTTTGTTCTGAATGATGCTTTGATTATCCTGGGTCCATGAGATTCCCATCCCACAAGTGCATTTCGTGCTTCTCTGGACAGCATTAGAGCAACTCCCTGAGTGTGTGGCGCATTTTCCCCTTCGTGACCGGAGTACAGCAGCATCTCTCCTGTACCTAGCCTTTGTTGTCCACTTTGTGTCCAATGGGTTTCGCTGATTCCGAGTACTGCCAAGTTGTATCTCCTCATTTCCATTGCTATTTGGCTGGTCTTTCCTGTTTCCCACATTGTCCGGACGTTCCATGTACCTATAAAGAGTGTTGCTCTGGTTGTTAGAAGGTGCATCGACCTCGTGACTTCCGAAGAATTTCGGCTTTCATCATGAGACGTCATTATTCCTTCAACTCCCAGGGCAGAGTTTAAATGGTTTGGATTATTTTTTCTGGTTAGCGTTTTTTTAGCGAGTTAGCTTTTCTACGGGATGGGGTCGCTAACCCCATGCCCAACCCTCCTCCTTTACCCGGGCTTGGGACCGGCAGTAACTCTAGAAGAGCTACAGGCGGAGTTGAGATAAAATTATTAAAACATAATCCCAGAGTAGTAGAGATTGCGATATTATTAGTGGTGGCAGAAAAGATTAGACATGGAAGATACGATCAAAGAAAAAATAAATTAGGGAAATAAAAAGATTATAAGGATTTTGGAAACTTAAAATCTAAGGGAAGACAAAAAAGCAAGAATTAGTGAAATAATGAAATGAGATGATATTAGAAAACATCAAGATGTCAAGTCGCTTAACTTTATATAGCTGATAAATTAGGCCTACCTTCAAGAAAATATGTTCTGGATTTTCTGTACTGAAAATTAAAATTACTATTTCAGATAGGTTGAGTCGACGGATAAGTGATAATTTTACGGAATCACATTCAATAAAACAAATCTTAAGTCAAGATTACATGATAATTACTCGAAAAAACGCTTACCCAGAAGCTGAACGACGTCTTTCGAAGAACGGTGGACTACTATTATTACGAATACGATTGTCAGTTCCTATGATGGGTTGTATAACTCTACAGTGATGATATCCAGAATGTTCACTATGATGTAAATCATTATTGGTATCATAGCAACAAGAGTTAATTGGCGTGAAAAAATTACTAAACCCAACTGAGTGATTACTTGACTTTTGTAGGAAATCTAAATTGTTTTTATCTAAAATTCATAAAATATGATACCAGGATGACAATCAAAAATTTAGTAGAAGAATACATTGAAAAATAGTCAAAACTTGATATTTTGAAAAATCGACACAGTTGAACTAACAACGTTAAGTCAATTAGATAACAGGAAACTTGAAATAAAAAATTTTCTCACGTGAATAAATATATTTTATTTTGAGATAACAAATGATTAAGACAAGTTCACTTTTTTAATCGTTTAATTCAGTAACTCAACAAAAAAGAGAATTGCTTCCATGCACCTGTGACTAGTAATAAAACTAATAGTACAGTTTTCATTGACGTTATGAGAACTATTTGTTATCTTACGTATCAGAACAGATCTGTGTGATTAACTTGCAACCACATTTTAATTGTAAAGACTAGTGATATTATGAGGTTGCTCAAGTCGGAGTAAGTGGAGTGGCGTTCGAACAGGTGACTACGTGGCTGAAAAACTGCTCAAAGTTACAAAAATGTTATACAAATAAGCAAGGTTTCCCGCATTATTTCCGAGGTATTCAAAATAGTTGTCATCCAAAATAGAACAGTCACGATATTATTTAACGTTTTGGAACTCATAAGCATACTTTTGTCAAATACACGTGAATCGAAACAACTAATGACTTCTCCAGATTTAGGCAGCTTCTACACTAAATCGAAACTTGATGTTTTAGTCAATAGGTTTAACGCGCTACAACAAGGGGTAAAAAGTATTTTAAAAAGCCATTACCATTAAATGGCGATGATTATTTTCTACCTCTTGCTGGGATTATTTTAAATTCAAACTAATGATCAAAATTGGACTTGAATCTAACTTTTTGGTAAAGTGATGGGCATCTCAGTGGTGACAGAAGTTGCATAACTTGATAGAACCAACCAAAGTATTTCAAGGATCTCAAAAAAACTTTCCAATGGTGCACGTATCAAGATGAAACAGTGAAGGCATCTAACAACTTTGGTCTACATAAAATGATGGCTCAGTGGTTCAAGAATTCAACTTCTAATCACTAGCCTGAAGATTCCTAACTTACTTCTCTCTATTTCGATTTCAACTTCACTGTATTAACGCTTGATATCCCCATGATTATCTAACCCGAAGCCAAATATATACGAACCAGTATTTCGCCAGGTTCAACTGAGGTTACCGTCTTCTAGTAAAAACTAACCATTATTCGGAAAGTACATGATTTGTGTAAAGGATACATCTTTAAAATATTACATGACAGTAACAAACTCTTTTATTTGAAGGAGCGAAGTTATACGACAAACTTTTTCACCAATAAACATTGCAAGCGTCAACGGAAAACCGCAATGGTATGAAAAACCCTATATCTAGAAGGCAGTCATCTTTCAAAAGTACTGAAATTATTATGACTAATTTATTAGGACGGATGTTTTTTATTTATTACTTTAAAAGATAGCTTCGGTTTGGGAGTCCGGGCAGTATTCCAGTCCTCACAAAAATTGAATGATTTGTGTGGCACATATGCATTTGGCGACTCCTTGTACCAGTGTTTATGTGTTTAAACAAATAAATAAAATATAAGATGGCATGTGGCAAGAATGCACGTCTGAGCATTTCCTGTCAGTATTCACCGTAAGCGGAAGACTGACGACATCAAAAAATTACATAGTTAAAAGTGTAAATCAGTTTTAAAACAGAACTCAGATAGTAGAAATTAAACATACTTTCAAACTTCCGAATAAAATTTTGTTTCCTAGCCAACCGATTCAGATTTCTCTGTGAGCTTGTTTGGACATCAACAAAACGCTGTTCGCGTAATCGAAGATCTGTAATATTGTTTCCACTAGAATAAATACGTGGTGACTTCGGATGAGATTTATCTGTCATATTACTATCCGACTTAGTGTTTGCAAACGTTCTTATTTGGGGACTGTAACAATGACCTGATGACATATTACGATATTTGTCATTATTTGAACCTACTGAAGAGCTTGTGAATTTAGCAGCTGGAATGTAAGAAAAGTAGTATTTTATTAAACTTCCTTAAAATAAAACCGAGTTAGCGACATAGTATTTCAAAACATTCTTTTTCTTAAGAAATACCCTGAGAAGTTATGTGGTGCTAAACATTGAAATTATAAGTATCATATAGTGTGAATAATTTAACAGATACAAAATAAACTTACAAGGAAATAACCGCATAGTTGACTCGCATAATCCTTGACCAGTAAACCAATCTGAGTCCACATGAACTACATGTTTCATATCTGTGGGCGGTGAAATTAAAGGTATTCCACCTTGACTACAACCAACTCGACTGGATGTGTCACGCGAAATCGATTGAGTTTCATCACAAAAGGAATTATTCAAATCTGAAGAATTATTTGTATTTACATTCAAGTGTGGACGATTATTAGAAGTACATTGTGAATAATTAATTGACCGTTTACGATCCTTTAATTGAAAATTGTTAGTGGACGAATAAGCTGAATTAACGTAGTCATTATGTGTAGAACACGGATTACCATTAGTTCCCCATCGCTTAAAAATACTACGAACAAACGGACGTTTTCTAGGTGGAGGAGGTTTAGGTTGAGCAGCTTGAATTTTATGAGTAGGATCTTTAAAATGATTAGCAGCCAGTACAGCCAAAAACATAAAATGTTGCTGAATATTCAGTAAAAAAATCGATGACAAGCAATAAACAATTTTTCAAATAATTTTAAGTTAAGTTACTGGTTTGTCTATAAATAACATATTTCGGATTTATAAACCTATCTAGGTTGTTTAATAAAATTTGATGACCATGAAGTATTGTATTCTGGGGGTATACATAGCATTTTTTTACACAGAATTAGGGAAGTTTGATGATGAGTCTGAAGTTATAAATTTAGAGACCATTTACAAAATATCAAGAATCTAAAATACATATATATATTGCAGTTATTTGCGTTCCCCAACAAATTTACATTTGTATGGTAAATGAAATCGTTCCCCTTAACACAGCGGCCAGAAACTCTGCCATGACGCCATTTATTGATGAAACTAAAAACGTGGACTATATCAAGTACTTAAATTAGTCGTCGGATGTAAATCACTTGTACAACTAAGTCCTTATTACTGAGTCACATCATCGTCAGTCAGTCCTCAACAACGTAGGACCAGGGACATATATGCATCAGTCTAAGGTGCCATACCTCAATGGCACAACAAGATAAATACTGGATTCATGGAAGTAATTACTTCAATGTCAGTAATATATAAAAGAAAAAGAATGCATATGAGGATATGATATAAGGAGAAAAAATTAGTTCGTATAAAGAAAAGTATAAAATAATTTTAATCTCACGGTTTAAGGGAAGACAAAGAGTATATATACCTACTCCATTGTGATCGATTCTGAGCCACGTCACCCAAGCATTGGTTACAATAGACGCGCGGACCCCACCAAGTAGTTTGCATCTACCAACAAGGCTCCTTTTGCTCTCATACTTAGTTCTATGTCTATATCTGTCAGTCCACGAGGACTTGCTGCCGGATCTCCAGATAAATGGAGGCTATATCTCGTCGGTTCAACTTTTTGGCTAGGTGAGGTCAAGTGAATGACCACACCAGGATTCTGTGTGCACGCTTTGGGGACACAGCCAGGCAGGCCTGTTGGTCGATTCAACATTGGACATGTATATTGAAGGCTCTAATGTGTAGTTTGGGGCGAGGTTTAGGCAGACCTGGAGTAATATTTCGCGCACTAGGATTGTTGGCCACGGTGGCACTTGAGGAGTCGAGGTAGGTAGACTACCAGAAATCGGAGAGAAATCGATTATGAATACAGTGGTTTTGAGTGCCGTTATAGGTATGAGAGTGGTTATTACTTCCCGGTTGCCCACACCATGGAAGGGTTCTTCTAGAGGTATATGAAAAGGGAATCGGGTTAGAATTGGTTTTAGTGACCTGAAAACGTGACCGTAGTGCCCAATAGACAACTACTTGAGACCGGTCACATACGACCTTTTGTGAGTAATTTTTATGTTAGCCCCGTACTTGCTGGGAGCTTACCGACAGTGACAGAAATTCGTGGAAAAAGAGGTGTGAATTTTTAGGGTTGACCTTTTCTAATCCCACCCTTAATTTGTAGGTAGGCAGCATCGCTGCTATGTTGGTTTTCTGAGGGAAACACCTTACTGCCGTCACACTTCTATACAGTTAACAGTACGACTTCACCCTTGGATCATTGGTTTGCTGCTTTTAGTCTTACCGCTTTCCAATTGACCTGAATGGCATGGTAGGAACTTGAGGAACGATTGTTCCAGCCAGTATAGCCCGTTTGGTTCATCACGATAGACAAACCCGACCACCACGTCAAGGCAGCAGCACCATAGATCATCAGATCATTGTGATTTTTAAATTAACTGAAATCACACTACGACATAGATATCTATTATTACCGTAAGGTGTATAATTAGGTCAAATTACGAAAAAAAAATAGTGAGCGTTGAAAACCCTCTATTTCGATTCTTTGATTAACTGGCAATATTTCGGTATACAGAGTAGGACAGTTTCACTGGTTATCGTAAATGGCTTACACAGGTGAGAATTAAACTGTTTATAAAATATTTCCGAGAATACGAATGACAACGAAAAATAAGACAAAGAAGGTATGATAGATAAGATATACATTACAAAGAAAAAACCTTTCTTTATCCATTCTCTATGCTGCTTCATGAAGAAGCGCTCCCATTTTTAAACAGAGAGAAGTGCATGACATACGATGCAAATATACTTTAATATCTGATGTACATACGCGTTATCCATAAAAGAATACGACAGGATAAAATTAACGGTTAGAGAAAAAGAAAACAATCATGTCGGAACATTCTGAGGAATTATTTCAATGTTTCTATTTTTCTGCATTACTGATATAAATTAGCTAGAGAAAATTACGATACAAACGACATCCATTACCTATATGCATAACCAATAACTTTACAGCATTACACATTACCATTAGTCATGTAACCATTCGGATCCTATCCATAGTCAAACAGTGACAAGTGCTTTTATTCCAATAGTTTTCATTTTATAGCATCATATCAAAAGTTGATAGTCAATCTATGTTTTTTTCTTAAAGATAGCCGAAGGCAGGAAATTAGAATTTGAAGGAAATATATAAAAATGAAATTTACAGAATAGAACAAAAAGAAGAATCGATTGTTTCGATAGTCATTATTACCGTACCTGAGTTGGGGAAGTCTGAACTAATAATAAAGAGTAATCACTGAAGTTTTTTTAATTCCAGACAAAATACAAAAGAAAAAGAAAAAAATCCTGGGAATTCAGGACGTAACTATTGATTTATAACGGTAAAAAAAATCAATGAAAAATGAATCAATAGCAATTTGTAACTAAACCCTGCGGCACAAATCTACGCCCTTTCAAAAGCTAAGAACTTATTGGTTGCGCTTTAAAACAAGCATATTTTTCCAATTTTAAATTTTAATTTAGTTTGATTAACTGGAAATAGGCACATCAATAAAGGCACACTTGTGAATGTTGAACAGTTAATACTCATTGATATTCGACAGTAAATGTCATCACCTGATCAATCAGTGTCTACAAAGTCAGACAACACCTGAGTTGAAAATCTCATGAATTATATAATCGTTCACCTGGAAATAAGTAACCTCAGGCCAATGGACTATAATTCGCATATCAAAATCTGATAGATAACTTATATATATTGTTTTATTTTTTTAATATGTGTGGACAAAACCACATTTAGTAGAGAAAAAAAGGCAACCAATTTTACTAACTTACACCCATGGTGTCAGCCACTCGATTATACAATTCCTCTTTTATATGAAGCTGATGGGCTTTTTCCACTAGATCTGCTCTGACCCTATCCAGAGATTCGCGATAATCACGTAACATTTCCAGCTGTGTTAAAAGTTCTGTTGAAAAATCTAAACTTCCACTTCTGAACGATGATGATAGTGCTTCAGCTACAGTCTAACAGTTTTTTAAGAAATGAGCAATATAAAAAATTATTAAATCATAATGCACTATTTAATTAACATTTATTTAGTAGTGAGAGACAAAGTAACTTCAGAATACAGTTACAACATATCTAAATAATCTGTAACTAGATAATTACTTTTTTGCATCATAAACATTAGATTGTATTCCTTAATACTAGATAAAAACCAGTGGTTTTTGAATGTAGGTTATACGGATTTTAAAAATTGCCTTATGTCTTCTTAAAAATGTGAAAGTGGATGTTAGCTAGTAGTGGAATCCAGGACGCATGTTTCATCACATTTCGAACTTATTAGTTGGATGTTCCTGGATCCTAGTATAGATGTTAGCTCCAGGATTAAAATCAAGTACTGTTTGCTTTAAACGCCATAGCGTTACCCATTTACATGAGCAAGTGGCCATCTGAGTCCAGTAGATAAGTGGATAACGCGATGGTATTTGAAGCAAACGAAAATGGGTTCGAATTCCGGAATGAACATCAACTCAGGGGTGCAGGTACATCCAACTGACGAGTCTCAAATATGACGAAACACGAGTCCTGAATCCCACTGCTAGCCAATATTTATCTCCGTTTAAAAATCCTTGACTTAGTAGCAATATTGAATCAATCCGCCTAAGATGCACATTTGCCACAATTGCACATTTGCACAATTGCAGTCCTAAATATTGATGGGAAGATTTCAATAACCAATACATATGAAATGTAAAAAATATTATAAACATGACAATACATAAAAGTGACATGGTGTCGTTTTCAGTCTTAATTAAATTAGCTCAGAGAGAAAGACCAATGGATACAATAGAGGAAGTTAAACAATGACGACGAACAGATATAACAGGAAAAAGATATGATTTCGAAACGAATTTCAATGTTCAAAAAGTCCATGAAAATACTGAATGACTGCAAAGCTGAGTAACAGGTTCAAAGGTTAACAGTTGAATATTTCGCATATTCAAGTGTATTCTTGCTAAGGCGAACAAAAGAATAACCAAATTTTATTAAAATTGCTTAAATCTTTTTAGGAACGACAACTGTTAGTACATTCTTTTCTAATTCGATTTCCCACATAGCCTTTGCTTTTTGATTGGTTGTCATAATTTGCGGTTCACTAGATTTCTGTATGCTTGAAGTTCATAATTTCCTACTATGGTAATGACAGTTGTACCAATTCGTTTTGTGTTGTTCGTTTTACTTAGAATATCAAGTTCCCTGCAATTCTTCTCTTTGTGTCAGCCGTTGGATTTTTTGTGTTGTGTGTAAATGGCTATGGCCAATTTGAAAGGGAACCGATCATATTAGAGTAATTCAATCATTTTTGTTCCTATATCCGTAAACATTATGGGCCCGTACTGAACACCAATAGCAACAATTCCAGTACTTTTTCGAGTAAGCTTTACAGATTTACAAATGTTTGATAGGTGAACATGAATCAAAAGTTGAGCATTCACACTAGTTTCAGAAAAAAAAATTTTGTAAATATGAATATTTGGTCGTTTTTATTACTGAACCCATCAAGTAAGCCTCCCTACTTTTTGTTACTTTACATTAACACCGTCCCTGGTAGCCTTAAATAATTGAAGTAATATCTAACACAAGCAGTATATCAGAAAATAACCTAGCAAATGTATTGTGTTAGACCTGACTGACCTATTGTAGTAATCATTGCTTCTGTTGTCCTATGCTCTCTGTTTTCGTTTTATTTTCCCTAGCTTCTAGGTTCCCTAGTACGGTTGAAGGTGGGGAAAGTCAGCTCCCTCTCTCCAAATGCTCTCACATGGCCACGCGTATATAGCCTCTGCTAGGGAAGTCCTACTCACTGCCTTCTCGTGGTGCAGGTGTTCTTTACAAAATTGACAACACGAAAAGCGAATGTATTGCGATTGCAACGTGTTGATGGACACGGAGGATCCAATTAGGGGAGTTGGAAAATCCTGATTTCAAACCAATGGTACACATGGGCTCCAACATCCTGAAGAAGCAAGTGGAGTATGAACCTATTGTAGTTACTGGTTACCATGGAACTGCATCTCCTAACGTTGCTCTACTGCCTTGTAGAATAGACTTGTAGGTCAAATGCTCGGAAAGTGACCCCCTAAGGAAACCACCTGCATCTGTTTGGGCTCCCGGGCAGTATTCCAGCCCTCACAGAAATCGAATGATAAAGTGTGGTGCACACATACTTGGTGTTTCCTTGTACTAATGTTTATGTGTTTAAATCACCTTAAATACACCGTTCATAAATCAAAAGCGTGCCCATTTAAAAGTAATTAAAAGTTTCTAGGTGACGCTTTACATTGATGTAATACGTTTGGAAAATGTACTACCTAAATAATTTTGAACTGGGACATTTCAAACAATCTACTATCACATATTTGTCCTCTATATTTAATATTACTATTTATATCAAGGTGATAATGCCTGTGAACTAATATGATTTCCGTAATTATTATTTTCAGAATATATATACTTTTATACATATTGATAGTAAGCTAAAACCACTGTAGCTTGAAAATTCGAATGAAATACATGAATATATGTTTTTGGACAAACTATAAAGTTGAACGGAATAAAGACACTGGAAATGATTTACAATAAATAAACTCAAATCCTATTAATGACCTTTCTCTTTAAAAACATCAAAATAAATTAACTCAACATACCTGTTGTTCTTCTTTATAGTGGACTGCTATAAGTTCACGCCAATCCTGTTGAATTTGAGCTAATTCACTAGGTTCTAAATCTACGAAACTGCAATCTTTGCATGATTTAAGTCGAGCCATAATATTTTCAAATTTAGGTCTACTATCAGGAGTAGGTGACCAGCAATCTAAATATAAAAAAATTATTGATGATTATAATTATTTGCACTACTTAACTGTACAGAAGGCGGCTAATTAAAAACAGATAGGTAACGAAAAACAAGATGTACAGTGGAACACATGGTAATGTTTCTAAATAACAAACCACAGAAAAACTTAAATTGGTCTATTATAAAACGATGTGAATTGTAAGGTAAATAATAAACAATATATATATATATATATATGCCCTGGTACGGCCGAGAGTGGGAAGAGTCCGAACTACCTCTCGAAATTCTCTCACATAGCCACGCATATATAGCCTCTGCCAGGGAAATCCTACTCACCGCCTTCTCGTGGCATCACTGTTGTTTACAAAATTGAGAGGACGAAAAGCGAAAGGAGAGTTGGAAAACCCTGATTCCAAACCAATGGTGCACATGGGCTCTAGCATCCTGAGGGAACAAATAGCGTATGAATCAATCGTTGGTCACCGGCTACCATGGGACTGCATCTCCTCACGATGCTCCACTGCCTTGTGGATCAGATCTTTAGGTCAAAGGCTCCGGGTGTGGTCCCCTAAGAAAATCACCTGCTTCAGTTTTGGCACCTGGGCAGTATTACAGCACTCACGCAAATCAAGTGAGATTTGTGCGGCGCATATGTATCTGGTGCTTTCTTGTACCTATATATATATATATATATATATATATATATATATATATATATATATATAAAGTGAATTTGGAATTTACCAACTGAAGGTTTAGAGATCAAACAACTTGAGATCAGTGAATAGTAGATTCGGACCCTGTTCAATCCTACTTTGGTTTGGGCAGCTAAGTAGTGGGACTATCAAACATACAAAGAATGTGGCTTAAAGTTTAGTATACCAACCTATACTTAGCAAATGATTAACATTCAACTTAAATATCATTATCGTATACAAACCAAAGTGTGACAAACCTTTAAGTAATTGGACAAAGAGATCTGGAATACCTGGTGGTACGTACAGAGTATAATTATACATTGCAATAATAAACAATAATCTAGGTTGCTCCATTGCACGAAATGGTATATCTAATGTAAGCAACTCCCATAACACAACACCATATGACCAAATATCCGATTTGAAAGAAAATCCCTCCTACAGTCAAAAAATAATAATCCGAACAAATTATAGACGAACGGAATTACGCATTCATTTCACATGTCATTTATAATGGTAATAATATATATGAATGGATAACATGACCTTGCAAATTCGCTGCAAAAACCGAATGAAAGTTGAATATTTTTCGAGAAAAGATAAGTTCAATTTTACAAGAAACAACTTTTCTCATTCAACGTAAATTCAAAGATGTAAACAACACAACCATCAATAATGCATGTCTCACTTCAAAGTGATATAATTATGACAAAAACTTGAATAAGATAAATAAGAAAAACATTTTAGGGAGTGACTTTATAACAGAAAACTACCAAGCGATAGATTTCAGGATCACAACAGCTTTTCAAACCATAAGTACGGCAAAAATGCTTTCATTTCTAATTAGCCAAAAACATATATATTTACATTTTGTTACAGTCCGTTAGCTTTAACATCATGTTATTTGTTCACAAACAAAGATATGGTTGAGTTCTGCAGTGTGCTTTTTAATTTTGTTATATTATCAAGATAAATAGTTTTAATTAAAGTTATTCTGGCAACTTTCCAGACCAAAATATTCAATTATTACAAAATAAGGACTAACTTGACGACAAACTTCTGGAGCTGCATATGCAACAGTGCCTAATTTAGATTGTTGTGGTGCAAGTTGACTAGAACGACAAGCCATTCCGAAATCAGTTATCAATAGGGTACACCTTTGAAGTTCATTTAGAGAAAATGGTTTTTGAACAGCTTCTCTGATAAGAACTAAAAAAAAATAATGGAAAACAAATAGTTAATCTTAAAATTAACTTATCAACAAGGAAGAATAGCGTAAACATCAAAAAATAATATCATTAAGTACCTGATTTCAAGCATTTAACTTGAAACTTTTTCAAATGGAAAATAAGTTAAAAACAAATACACCGATCCACTGCTTTGAATGACTGGTTTACACTGAAATAAAACCTTTTGATTAATATTCATTCGTAACATCAATGCCTTCACCCTTTATTTGAAAGTGATCAATAAGACTTACCTACCCTCACAAGTAAGACTAGTTCACATTCGAAGACAATACAGACCTGAACAAAGATTGAAGTCGATTTTTCGACTTCAAAGGAGAATAGCTGAAAATATTTCCTACAATAAATACTTTTAACCATAATAAATTAACTTATTTTTAGCATTTCTCAAAACAAAAACGACTTAAAGACTCACTGTTAGATGATTTTAAATCTCGATGACAAATTCTGGCATCTGTATGTAAATATGCCATTCCACTAGCGATCTGTAATGCCCAATCAAGTAAAACAAGGGGACCTAATAAAGGTCGTTGGTTGAGAACCATGTTCAGCGAACCACCATAAGCATATTCCATTACAAGTGCAGGGGAATTAGATTTGTCTAACCTACAGATCCCATAAAATCTCACAATGTTCCGATGAGATAATCTGCACAGATGCAAAGCTTCATTGTCTACCTATGAAAAGAATTGGAATTAAGGGTTAGCGAATAAGCAAGACAGGTGCATAACACAACTAGGTTTTTCAGATATTCTCATGAAATGAACTTTGTCAGTATTATGTGATTTTCCTTCAATCTACTTGGTAAGTGAAGTGATCCCGAGGGTCAAATAATAATTTGCTGAAGACTATTTCTAGTAAAAACATAAACGAACTAGGTTGCAGCTGGTCCATGGATTATTGATAGTTAAATCCTTTAACTTTCAATTATTGGGAATGAATTTTGAGTCCCACTCCAAATAGTTCGGTTTGACAGATGACTAAGGTCCGATTTAAACAGAACTTAACAAAACTTAGTGATAGTTTTTCACATTTCCCTCTTCTTAAAAGTAAGAATTTGGTGTCAGATTTAAGGAAACAGAAAAACTAGTTGGACATGGCAAAATCATTACCGTAAGTATGCTTAGGTAAAAATAACAATGAGTTTTTCCGTTTTTTTTTGTCTAAAAATCATTACCATCGTTATAATTAGGCATTGCGAAACCAAACATTTTAGTTAGTATGCCCAAAAAACAAATAAACCATTTCTATGAGTCGGACGGTAAGGAGCTATTCATAACAAATCACAATCGTATAACTATATGTTTACCCAACTCATTAGTCTCATAATCTCCAAAACTTCAGACACATAGTTCGTTAACAAACAGATGAAATATGATAACATTGAATTCCTAGACGCTGAACGTCAACAACTGTACTCAATGGTGTCCACAACTCATTTACTAATACTTATTTGACTTCATGTCAGAAACCCGTTTCTAATAAAGGGACAATTAGGCAAATATGTTTCGAACATTATAGTTAGTAAGAATATTTAATTTATCAAGATAATAAAAAACGAGAAAAAAATTCACCTGATTTGTAGCTAAATCAAATACTTTTAGTGCAATATCTTGTTCACGCCAAAGACCTCGATAAACTTTTCCAAATGCTCCTGAGCCAATAAACTATAGCAACAGAAGTGAATAATACGAGTACAGTTAATAAACTAAAATAAATTTATTTAATAGAAGAAAAGACTCCAACCTATTTATATGTTAACAAAACTAGTATGTAGCATGCTTAAATAGAAAAATAATACTAACCAGTTAAGAAGCCATTTTAAAAATGCCATTAAACTCTAAATCAATGTGTATTATGGCAAAACAACAAAACTAAACTTAAGAAGACTAAGAGGAGGAAAATAGTTATATATACGACCAACTGAATGGAATTTATAACTGTTTTAGCCATAGCACTTACTTCTTTTAACCACAATAAATATTATCAAAGCAAATAGTGTGTTTAATTAGGGCATTCGATAATTTTTTAAAGAAACGGATATAGATTTTATGCATTTCACCAACATATTCTAAACTTTGGAGAATATTACCCTACAAGATTTTCAGCTTGTTGTCCCCTTCAAGACGTTTAATCACCGTGATTAACTGGTTTACCACCTTTTTATCACTAGATAAGGTGTCCAAACCATAACAGCTACGTTAGAAGAAAGCAAACAAATGAAAACCGGATAATTCTCAGAAGCAAAGTTTAGCTACAACACAAACATTCTATATACCCGATATATGTAAACGACAGACAAACTCGAAATCTCAGTGAAAAAGTATAAATTACTTTCTGAAGAGCTTCAGACAGTTTGATAATGCTACACTATTAGTCTTGAAAATCCAAATGTGAGGACGGCCCACATGTGAACTTAAGGAAGCTCTAAGAAGCTCAGAAAGAGCCGAAGACATTCCATCCAATCATCTTTTAGAGGAACATTCCAGGATCTCTATGTGTGGCTTCCCTATTGGATAAAAGCTAAAAACTATTGTATGCGGATTGGATGACCATAATGATGATTTCGCTTTTACTAAAAACTATAAATGCCTGAGAGTTTTGTACCATAACTGACACTGTTGGAATAACATTCCTTCTCACTCGTTTTCTGTCTTCTCATTTTGCGACTTGGAGGGTTCTAGCGTCCGAGTGATCAAATAGTACGCGGTATATCAGGAATATAAGCTCTAAATATAACACTAAACAATCACATCCCATTAATTATCATTACAGATAGCTCGATCAGTATTGGAAATTGAAAACACACACCCTTTCCCCAGTAGTTAACTTATAAAATTAAACCAACGTGTTAAGTCGGTTTCCAGAGAACTCCAACAGAGCCTCCAGAGGCCCGAAAAGAGCTCCAACCAATCAGAGCACGACAGAACATTCTGGAGTTCCAACGTGGCACGCTATCATTGGTCAGTAGCAATTTATGTCGTTAAGTGGATTGGCTGAATTAGGATGTTGACTTAACTTAAGCAAACATCTATAAATACCTACGATTTTCTGTACAAAGATGAACCTTGTAGTAAAGTGATTCTCTGATACTCGTGTCTTCTCTCTGGTCTTTCAAGTCGCTGAGTAGTGCTAGCCTGGGATTATCCGAATAGCTTAGGATCTGAATATAGCGTTCAACCCACAAGACATATCACAACGTAATTAAATTTTCCCAAGATTTGGCTTGGATATGCTTTCCATAACACTACACACATGTCACCAGCAAACGTTCGCCCTATTTTACTCTATGCTTGCTGAACGTAATGAGGTGAGTAACTAATACATTTACTACACAGTTAAATATTTTATATTGTTTAGATTAAGTTATAACAACAGTCAGTCAGTCAGTCACAACGTAGAACTTCATACGTACGTACATCAGTTCGAGTTGCCATACCACATTAGCACAGAGATGCAGTTGTCGATTCAATTCCCATAGTGGTAGAAGTAGTAAGAGTATAAGCATTATGTGAAAGATTAGGGTTTGAAGAAATTATTGAAGGAGTATAGTACAGTGAAATAAATTTCGAAAGAGAAAAAGATAAATACATGAGGAATTCAGAAGATTAGAATTTGGTAGAACACAAAGAGTGGATGCATCTTCGCCATTGCAAACGATTTTGAGCCATGTCATTCAAGGTCTCTAACCATGGGTTGCTGTCATCCCGCGAATCCCAATCAGGTAGTCTACACCTACCAACATGGCCTAGTCCACTTGTCAGTGACTTCATGGATTTATGCCATGTTTTGGTCTGGCCGCCCCTAGCTTTCTTACAACCTACTCCTACACCATGAAACATTGCACGTCGGGGCAGTCGGTGGTCGGGCATACGTAACACATGTCCCAGCCATCTCAACTGATGAAGTTTCACTACTTCATCAATCGATTTGCCATCCCTACCTAGTACTCGTTTCCTAACAACTGCATTACTTACCCGGTGGTCCCAGAATATACGAGCAATGCTTCGAATACACCTATGATCGAACACTAGTAGTCTACGAATATCCTCTACTCTTATTGGCCATGTTTCACTGCCATAAAGTAGGACGGAGCGAACTGCTGCACAGTAAACCCGTCCTTTGGTTGCTAGACGGATATCTCGCCAACGCTATAAATGACCCAAGTTGGCGAAAGCTAGACGAGCCTTCTGTATCCGTGCTGAGATTTCGTCACATACCAGACCACAAGGGCTGATGAGACTCCCAAGATAAGTGAAGTGGTCTACACGCTCAACTACTTCACTCTCTATCATTAGTTCAGGTGTCGATGCAACCCAATCCTGAAGTAACATTTTGCACTTCGAGGGAGAGAATCGCATCCCGAACATGCCTGCATAGTTCCTTATAGTGGTCAGAAGACTCTGCATGTTGTCAGCGTCTTCACCGAGTAAAACTATGTCGTCGGCGTATTCTAAGTCAACAAGTGAGCCTCCTGGTAAATGTTCAACTCCTGGAGGTTTAGCTGATGAAAGTGCTATCTCTAAAAGTATGTCAACGACAAAGTTAAACAAGAATGGGGAGAGTGGACAGCCCTGACGAACACCACTTGAGGTAATCAGTTCTGATGACAGTTCGCCATAGGCTCTAACTCGACCAGTTGTGTTCGAGTAGAGAGCCTTTATGAGGTTAATGTACTTCTTTGGTACTCCTTTCACTGACAAACATTGCCATAGAACCTCACGATCCACGGAGTCAAATGCCGCCTTAAGGTCAAGAAATACTACTATTGTGGGACGTCTGAATTTGTGTCTATGTTTTAGAACCTGACGTAGGGTGAATATCTGGTCTATGCAACCACGTCCAGGTCGAAAACCAGCTTGGTTTTCTCTAGTCTGCTCTTCACGATCTTTGGTTAGGCGACCTAGTATTATTGAAGCTAATATTTTAGACACTATATTAGTCAAACTGATCCCTCTGTGATTGTCACAAGAGGACTTTTGTCCTTTCTTATAGACTGGCACAATCAGTGATTGGGACCAGTCAGATGGAATTACGTCCAGTTCCCAGATTCTACCTAAGACCTCAGTCAATCTCGTTGCTAGTACTGGACCACCATCCTTAAAAATCTCAGGGGACAACCTGTCAGGGCCTGCTGCTCTCCCTCGCTTCAGATTTCCTATAACTTTTTCAACCTCACAGAGGGTTGGAGGACTTACATCAATTTGCCATTCAGGACGACTGGGGATCGTGGGTAATTGAAGTGTGGCTGAAGGCCAGTTGAACTGATCCCTAAAGTGTTCTGCCCATCGATCCAATCTCCTGAATTGAGAATGAATAAAATGCCCATCTTTGTCTGAGATGGTTTCACTGATATTCGGGTTCCTAATACCGGTTTCTTTAACGAGTCTGAATAGCTGCCTACTGTTACCTATTGCCGCTGCCTTTTCCATCTCTCTTGCTTTCGCTACCCACCACTGTTCACGATCATTACGTAGGCTTCTTATAAGCCTGCGCTTAAGCTGACTCCGCTCTTCGTTATGCTCAGAGCCAGGTGGGATGAGTTTACGAGCATCTATCAGTGCGGTAGATGCTGCCGTGATCCATTGTTTCTCCCTAACGTTATGGTTTACCTTACTAGTGGATATCACTGCTGTTTCCACAGCTTTTCGGATGTCATTCCACGCTGCCTCGGGGTGGACACAACTTACATGGCTGCCTAACTGTTTTCCTAGATGTTCCTGAAATATATTCTTAGCATGCCTAACATTAAGTAGAACCCTTAGAGGCTTCTCTGCAGTGTCTTTCCTACGACCAGTAAGACGCAGACAGATACGTGCTCGCACTAGAGCATGATCTGAATCTAAACATGTGCCCCAGAATGATCGACAGTCTTCTATCGAGCCCCTCCATCGGGGGCTGATAGCGATGTGATCTAATTGGGTCCAACGTTGGGACGAATTCGGAGGTCGCCATGTCAAAAGATGTTTTTCCTTATGCTTAAAGTTAGTATTTGCAAGAAATAGGCGGTTATCTGAGCATAGCTGCAACAGACGGTCGCCATTATCTGTTCTTTTCGCCATGACACCATAAGATCTACCCAGGTGTCTTTCCCTTTCACTTAGTTTACCTACTTGAGCATTAAAGTCACCTGCTACTATTACTACATCAGAACGCCTAGCTTCTCGGAAAAGGTCAGAAAGTTTCCTGTAAAACTCATCTTTTATATCGTCTGAGCTGCAGTCAGTGGGAGAGCAGGCAGAGACGACGAAGAGGCAACGACGAGTTTCCCTATCTTTCCGGGTCCTTACTGATCCGTTTAGTCGGACAGCGCATAGACGACTGTCTACTGGGATCCAGTCTAAAAGAGCTAGTTCTGCCCTAGGACTTAATGCTATACCTACTACAGCGAGGCCACGGGAAGCAGCATCAGAGCTTCCAGATACACGAAGAGTGTATCGAGATGAAACTTTATTTTGATTAGGTGCGGTCAAATGAATGACACTACTCGGATCTTGTATGAGCGTTTCGGAGACGCAGCACACATCGATGGTGTAAGATTCTAGAGTCCTAGCTAAGGAAGCCTGATGTCCTATTTGGCACAATGTTCGGACACTAAAAGTTCCTATATGTAGTTTAGAGCGTGGTTTCAAGAGACCAGGAATAACGTTCCGTGTACTTGAATCGTTTGCCCTAGCGGTGCGAGGTGATAAAAGGACGTGGGAAGGGTTAGTCGTGGAGATAACAGAGTTATTAGGTGTAGGAAGGATTTGAAAGCGACCAACTTGGTCTTGTGTGCAGTTAAGGGTATGAGGGCTAGTATCACTTCCCGGCTGCCCACACCGTTATAACAACACGATACAATTTCATAGTGAATACTTGAAATTCGAGTTCTCGCTTGTTTCTTATAGAAGTACGAAACTTATTGGGATTAGTATTATTTCGTTAGATTATTTCGAATTCACATGTGATCCTCAAATGTAGGTATTCATACGTTACTAATATTTGACCATAAGTTTTTGTAAACATTGATATCCCATTACGGAACAACCAATCGAGCAATGTTAAGGTTAGACGCAAGGTACTCATCAAAAATAGCAGATCGATTGATGAAGTTGCAAAATATCATTGACTTAATTGGTTGGGACATGTATTACGTATTCCCGATTACCACAACAATGTTGGTAAGACTAAGGATAAGTTAGCTCGTAAGGTCATCGGCTGTGGATTTGAGTCAACTTAGACAGTTAAGACTTTCTGGCTGGAGTCCAGAAAATTATCGTGATCAAAGTTTGAAGATACTGCATAACACGGATCAAAATCGGGCACAGTGGCACATATGCACTCACTTTTCACCAACCATTGAATTGTAGGTTTCGGAATTATTTTATTTAATAAATTAATTCATTATTTTTCGAACCATATGACCTATCTAATATTTTCTACCATCACTTATACTGATACTATTAAAAACATTTATCGGGACAACTCTATCCCGCTTCGCTGATGTGGTGGGAAATGAAATCGACACATTTGTACCAGGATTTACTTTTACTATGACTGACTAGTTAAAATTTCACTGAGCAAATAAATAATGCCTGAATACTTTTAGATAAACTTTTTATTTTACTTTGCAATAGAACGCACCTGTTGTTGTACTAACTCAGTAGCAGGAATTGTTCTAACATGACCGTGTCTAAGGATTACTTCACTGTCGGGTGACTTGTCAAGAGACATCTCTTCCTTTGTTTTTGCAGCTATAATTTTATCCGTATTGTTGCCAATCCCAAACGTGACATCATTCCATATATTTTGTTCAAAAGAATTAGCTTTCATTTCATTCGCTCCTGGAGATTCACTGCTTGTAATGTCATCTGGATTTAAAACATAGCCACTAGGAAATACACCAACATGACCTGTTTTTGGTTCTTGGCCAACCCACCATCCTTCAGCTCCAGAATGTCGACAGTCTTTGGACAAAATCTGTAATAAATTAAAAAGATCCAAAAACCAGAACCAATGAAAGGCAGAAAGTATCAACTCATGAAGTGATTTCCTAGAAATGACAAACTTGAAGATTTTAGCAACATATAGTTTTAAAACCACAAATAACAATGTTGTAGACAACAGAACGAAAAGTGACATAAAAGCCGTAAAACCTAACATGTTTTTTTACAAGCAAACACTAGATTGGATCATAACAAGAAACAAACAGAGTTCTTCGTAAATTAAAACGTAACTTCTTGACTGAATGAAGTCTAAATTGATTGCTTTATTAGATACACTTTATCTTTTAATAAAACCAAACACTATTTATTTATTGATCACGCGACCTTTTCTTACGTTACTTTTTTACGGTATTATGATTTCAGTTGTATGGTGCAGACTTTCACTAGCCTGTAGTACCAAATTTTTTGTTAAAAAAAATAATACAAAACACAGAACTTAGGCTGTTAAGGTTTAATGTATTGGTATCTTACTTGAATAAAACAGGTTTTCGAGGCAGACGATTGTGTGGTAGTGACAGAAATAAAATAAAAAGCTGATCTGAGAAACATGGTTATCACTAAACATGATAACACAAAAAGGTTTTGAAAGGAAAATCTTCAGGTGACATACATCAGAAGAAAATTTCACCAAATGTTTCGAAAAACGAAGCTATAACCTGTTTTAAGACTGAAGAATATGATTAACTTTAGGCTTTAGTAATTATATCTATTTTGCACAGCCACAGGAATAGTGACTGAAATGTACGTACATCAGTCTATAGATGGGGATTGATTTACATTGAAGACAGCGTTAAGATCCTGTGCTTTGAAAATATCAGAAATTATTCCATAGTATATGGCACTGTTCCTTCTTTATATTTACTGAGACCTTTCCAGTATAAAGTGGAGAAGGCTGATTACACAAATTTCAAGATAGAGTTTAAACTCGTGTCCACAGCTATATTACTCCTTTCAAAGTTGTTAGGGAGGGCAAGTTGAACTTCCCTTTGTATACTTGAGCCACCCTAATATTTAGTTACTGATCCCTCTCCAGTTTATTTTCCTGATAAAACAAAAATCGGCTAACCACTACCAACCTCCAATGTCATTTAAATTTTAGAATATTTTATCAAAACGTTGGAGAATCGATACTTCGGAATACATTATTGCCAATCCGGTATGGAATGAACAAGGCGCATCTGGATGACATAACAAGAATAATAGGCAACCAATCGATAAGGTACAAGGCACAACAAAATACTTGACTAGATCATTCATAGAAACAAAAATTCTATACTTCTGCTGGAAGATACAGATTAGTGTCAATACCTTGAAGACCTGTGGCAAATAATTCTTTCAAAATAATTCTACCCCAGTAATCATATACCACGCCACGTAAAAACTCAGGGTGAATAGTGAATCCATTCATCTTATTTTGCGCATATTTGCAGTTTAGTCAAGTTCTTATTATGTTTTCTCGGTTTAGTAGCGAACTTATCAACTGAATTCGTAGGCACCAACTGTTAGGCACATTTTCAAAACTATAAACAATTACCTTAATTTTCTGACCTGTTCGTAGATTTATTTCATCTGAATGCTGAGGCATGTACGAATAAATTGCAGTAACGTATTCAGAAGAAGCTTCACAATGTTTACCAGAGAATATTGAATCCATTTTACTACTGGCTAGTGTATTGTGGTTTTCTGTGGCGCTCTCCTGATAAGAAATAGGTTTATCTTCTACCATAGTTATGTACATCAAAATTCTAAGAATATATTGAAAGACGTAGACTAGTATATCACTTGCACTGAACTCGTTTGTTCAGTGATTAACGCGGATCAATGAGGAATAAAGGTCAAAATTCCATAAATTGATCAAAAGAATTGAAACACAAATCTAAAGGACAAATAGAAGGAATATGTAGGTGACTCCCTTGATAATTTGAATTTATTGTGTTGTAAAATCGTATCACACTTCTATTTTAGGAGTAACAATAGCCATCTAATATTTTTAGTAATCTGCATCCAGTAGACTTCTTTTACTTTATACTGATACAAATAACTTTACTAACTATAGGTCTAATAAACTTGGGAATAACATTTAAATCCTTGTTAACTGAAAATGTTAAAGAAATGAATTTCACTGAGTCCCTTGAACGAAAGCTTAAAAACAAGTTATATTTTGTACCTACTACATTTCGGTGTACAATATATTGATTTATTGCTTCACAAAATACTTTCGTTGAGAGAAAAACCTCATTTATATTGACCATTTTGCAGAACCTGAACCATAAGTGAAACACCTAGTATCTTTTAGGACGTAGGGATACCATACAACTGTTTATTGCCCTATACTAATTTAAGGTTGCAACATATGGTCAACGAAACTAGACGGTATAACTCAGTGACTAAATACGGGTACAAGACTGGTGATACTACGTAGCTTTTCAAACTACATATGCGCAACATAAAGTTATAAGTATTCGGAGAATACTTTTGTACATGACAGGAACACTGAGTAAGCAATGTCATGATTAAGTTCAGCGTTTCAAGCAAAATAAATTGGCAAGTTAAATTTGTAAATGAGCACCAACTGATGGTAGTTTATTGGTTAATAGAACGATTAATGATTCCAGTACGTAGTATTTATCTCTGAAGTCAATGAATATTGACCTGGACTATATACGGAGTTGATGACTAACAGAAATTTATGTGACGTTAGACATACGTAGTTTAATAAATAAGAAAGCATGAACTGAAATCGATTATAACGATAGAGGTGCAATTGCTGCCTGTGAGTCTTGAACAATAAAATCCAATGCTTAGTTTGTCCGAGTGGCAGTGGGAACATAAAGATTACAGTACTTCGGTTGGTCGAATACAACGTAGAATTCAGAACATGTGTACATCAGTTAAAGTTTTCATAGAGAAACGAAATTGTTAGGTAAAATCTGGCAGCAGTAGAGGCTGTAATAGGACTAATAGTTATGGAAAATATTAGGTATCGGAGATGAGATTCGAGATTGTACATAACTTTTAAAACAATAGAGATTTTATGAAGATTCTAGAAACTTGAGATATAAGGGAAGACAACAGTAGATGCAACTCCGCCAATATGAACGATTTAAAGTAATATTGATCAATGTCTAACCACTGGCTACCATTATCACAACCACTCAGTTAGCACCTATCTACACGGTTCAGTTTAACAGCTAGTGCCTTCATGGACTGGTACCATACCTTTGTTTGGCCGCCCTTATCTACCTTCGACCTATTACATCAACCATCGTAGCGCGTCAACGTGGTCGGTGGATGACCATAAGTAGGTCATGTCCCAACCGTCTTAGGCGGCAATGAGTAGATATTTGTAGTATCATTCAATCGAGCAAAGCACAGATAACAGTCGATTGGGATTCAATCCAAAAATGTTCATCTCACTTTTGAGTTGTGTGGTCGTTTAGTGGTCAAATAAAGTGGTTTCTAACAAAGCGTTGTATATTTAAACCCAACCCTATCTGTTTTAATTTGAGCAGTTTTATGACAGTAGCTCTCAAACAGCAAACTTGTGTTATTTCATTAAGTTCCTAGTGTTCGAGACCTTAACATAATACACTAATGTCAGTCAGTCACAACGTAGAACTTCGTATGTACGTACATCAGTTCGAGTTGCCATACCACATTAGCACAGAGATGAAGTTGTCAATTCAAATCCCATATCGGTAGAAGTAGTAAGAGTATAAGCATTATGTGAAAGATTAGGGTTTGAAGAAGTTATTGAAGGAGTATAATACAGTGTAATAAATTTGGAAAGAGAAAAAGATAGAGACTTGAGGAATTCAGAAGATTAGAAGTTGGTAGAACACAAAGAGTGGATGCATCTTCGCCATTGCAAACGATTTTGAGCCATGTCATTCAAGGTCTCTAACCATCGGTTGCTGTCATCTCGCGAATTCCAACCAGGTAGTCTACACCTACCAACACGGCCCAGTCCACTTGTCAGCGACCTCATGGATTTATGCTATGTTTTGGTCTGGCCGCCCCACTAATGACTTAAAAGTTACCTAATGCACCAACATTGAGCTGAGTACGACCTACCGTTTTGATTTTTTTTTAACAACGCTGTCTGTGAGCTCATCATTTGGTCAAGTACCAAGTGTTATTATGATAGTACCTTAAAAATCAACTGTCGACCAACTAGACCCAAACATACGATGCTACTTATTTATTTGAACGTGTAAACATCGGTACACGATGGCACCAAATACATATACACCACACAACAATGTAGTAAAAATTATCACTGATTTGTGTGTGGGCTGTGATACTGCTCATGTACCAAAACTGAAGCAGGTAATATCCTGTTTTTCTGGAGTAACTTACCTAGAAAGATTTATGACACAAATCCCGGGCCAAAAGGCAATGGTAATTATTGAGTTGGCAAACTCTAGAAAGGTACTTTGACGTTTCAATTCATGTACACCTGGATGCTAGGTAGTTGTTTTTAGAGTCTAGTTAGCTTCACAAAGCATGTTAATGCAAACTCACTTATATAAGTCCGTTATGCTATGGTCTCTACTCAATAACGAGGATTATTAACTGTTAAGTCCGTCATAGGCATCACAGCAGCACGGTTATGTACCAAGAAGTACGTTGAAGCACTATCCTAATACACCTTAGACACACAAATTGAGACTAGGTAGGGCAATTTATTGAGCAGTGTAATCTCCAACAAATGATAGGCACAGTGTCATATTACTATCATTAAGATTTAAAAGTGACCGCAGTACAAAACAGTAAGTCAATATCAAACATCATACTCAGGTCGTTGAGCGTAGCTCGAGCTCAGACCTGAACAAAGTTACGACAAACCAGATAACAGTATGTTTAAACTGAACCCAATCGTAATTCGTAGAAGACTGAACCCAAATTGCCAGAAAATTTGAAGGTAAAGAAACGTACCTAACCTCCAAAAACATTCAAAAACTACGGGAAGCCCAATTGATAGATCAATTTATTGCAGACTCAAACCTACCACAAGACCTTGATCCAACATTCCATCAATAGACCAAGATGTAAGTATTTCAGATTTCACAAATGCAGAAGGTTGACGGATTATGTAAGTTCTTTCCTGTTTATCCTCTGCAAATGTCTAGTATTTCCATGAATGATTCAATTGAAGGTGTGGACACTACTTACAGTTGTAGGTTCCAAGTCATGATAACTCAGTGTGAAGACCGGTAATTCACGGAAATTTCGTTTCTTCCCGGTTTTTGTGCCCATCTGACTTGTTATCCGAGTTATACCGATGCTCTATAAAGAAAAGGAGAGGATATATCCGATCCAAAACCATTGTAGCTGCAAATAAATCCCCAAAATCAATAGCTCATTAAGTGTTCAACATTGGATGCTGACCACGTTGTTTAAGTGGACTTGTTTAACTGAAGGCTTTCGGTCATGCATCCGTACCAGATCACGTTTTGACCCAGCGTGGGACACTGCTCCCACATTCACTAGCCAGCTTAGAATAAACGCTTCGCGATATATTGATAACGTGTCAAATATATCTTTCCTACCTCTTCTGGTCTGACTTATGATTCCATTGGTCGGGGGAAAGCTTCGCATATAGAAGGTGCTACTGGTAGCAGGTTGTAAAATCAGAATACTAGTCGTATTTTCACCATTTCCATCTATCCTATGCAACAAAATCAGATCACATCTTTATCTGAGGTAGGACTGAGCAGAGGTTTAACTTATCAAGCCCTTTTCTCTATGATAAGCCTCTAAACTCTGGAATTTCACTCATGGCTATCCTCTGTATCTTTAACGAGATATCCAACTCACCATCTAACAGCATAAAGATGATACAAGTATTCTGATTTTCAATACACCTTAACCGGTAACAACTTCTACAGTTGAAATATACCAACCCAGTAAAATCAAAAGTCAAGATTCGAAGACATATTTACTGGGCTGTCGACGTATTGAGAAGTGATCAATCTAAGCTGGCTGGTGGTCGTAAGAGATGTGGATCACGGCGTACGCACTCGTGATTTGGTTCGGACATATGACCGAAAGCCTTCAGCTAGGTGAGTCCAGTAAAGCTAATGCGGTCGGCATCAGCCATCGAAGGATTACAGAGCTATTGATTTTGGGGGTTTATTTACTGCTACAGACCACTCCTCCCCTAATGAAGTAGTGATAACCTTAAGACATGGCCTATCGGTTTGTACTCAACGAGTGTGTTGTTGATAAACACTCTTCCGATAGCTTGCTGTGTTCATCAGCGTCCAGTCGTCTTTCCTTACCATGAAAGGCCATGTGGTACAACATAACAATCAAAATCAGATGCAATGAAAATTCCAACTCATCAAAAACCTCATTGTTATTTCATCTTTTTCAGCTGTCCTGGGAAAGAAAAAAATGTACAAATGCATGTCGAATTACACTCTTACGCGCGTAAGAACATAAACAATCGAAAAAAGGAAAACAAACTTATATACATGCGTTTTGTAAGCACGCAGTAGCGTGTGAACGAATTTCGCAGGATGATATTAGCGAAACTGTTTATTATGAGGTGTTTTATACCGCTACAAATAGAGCATGCCGAAGCGTCGAGTGCGTGACAGAATTTCAGACGAATAATCTGTCACTTATTGGGGAATATAGTTCACGTAAAGCTGTTCACATTGTCCTTAAGACCGAAGTGGAAATCATGTGGAATTTCACAACTTGAAAGAATCAAAGTCCATTTGATATTTA